GGCGTGCGTGCGGCCCGGGTTCGATCCTCAGCACCACATACAAACAAAGATGTTATGTCCGCTGAGAACTAAAAAATAAATATTAAAAAATTCTCTCTCTCTCTCTCAAAAAAAAATCTTAAAAAGAAAATGGGGGTGTAGCTAATGGCAGGGTACTTGCCTAGCATGCATAAGGCCTTGGGTTCAATCCCCAACACACACACACAAAATTTTTTTAAAGGTTAAAACAAATTTTATATTATATCTACTTTACCACAATAAAAAAGTTTATGCAAGCCAGGCACAGTGATGCCCGCCTGTAATCCCAACGGCTCAGGAGGCTGAGACAGGAGGATCGAGAGTTCAAAGCCAGCCTCAGCAAAGGTCAGGCCCTAAGCAATTCAGGGAGACCCTGTCTCTAAATAAAATACAAAATAGGGCTTGGGATGTGGCTCAGTGGTCAGGTGCCCCTGAGTTCAATCCCTGGTACTCCCCACCACCAAAAAAAAAAACCAGTTTATGCAAAAAAAATTTTTTAAGTTTATGGAATGAACAAAGAACAAGAAACACAGAGCCCCTCCTCTAACACCTCGTCTACACTATGCCTGCACATACACTTGTCCAGTCATAATCTAGGCTCCCTGCTGCAAATCCAAGATGTAGTTGAGGTCAGTGAGCTCCTGTTGTGGTCAGGAGCCATATGAGGCATCCGGGGCCCAAAGCTGAACAGGCTACTGAATGGGCAAGGAGCCAACCTCCAGAAGAGCAATTCTGTCTCCAGATCTACTACCTCCTCCCTTCCTCAGGGGGGGATTCTCTCTCCCCGTCTCTGCCTTCTACCTGCTTGTCGGTTTCTGTCCCCCAACATCCTGCTCTAGTCCCCAGAGTTCTCTTAAACCCCAATACATTCATCTCATCCGCATGTGTATCCTATTAGTATTTTTCCTGTTGAAACAAATGCAAAGCCCATTCCTGAACTCTTTCCTAGGACACAGGAAAAGGAGTGGAAAAGCCCCAGGTGTTGGGCTCTTGGCCCCTCCTATTTTCTCCCCTGTCTCCATCTTTTTTTAGGAAGGGCTGGCAGAAGTGAGGCGTTCTCTTTTTAAAAACAGTCTCTTTGGCCGGGCACAGTGGCACAGCCTGTAATTCCAGGACCTCAGGAGGCTGAGGCAGGAATATTGGAAGTTCGAGGCCAGACCCAGAAACTTAGTAAGACCCTGTCTCAAAATAAACAGGACTGGGGAAATAGCTTGGGGGTAAAGCATCAATTTCCAGTACCAAAGAGTTCAATCTCCAATATCAAAAACAAACAAAAACAGACCCAGACCTGCTGACTTTCCAAGACCCTCGACCCTGGGGTGTTCCTGGCCATCCCCATCCAGTTTGGGTGCCCTGCTGCAGAACGCCTTACCTGTTGGGTTTCTCTCTGCAGCTGGCTTTCTGGAATGGTTCCTCTGGCTTGGGTTACTTCCCCTAGCTCTAAGCTCGGAGCCCCCAGGGTTACCAGACAACGGGGTACCGCCCTCCCAGGGAATTGAGTGACAGCTCAGGTGGCCTATGTTAGTGCTATGCCCTGATGGTGCTGGGACACAGACACCAGAGGTCTATTCCCCTCCCTCTCCCCCATCCCTGCAAACACCCCCACCCCAAGTCCCTTCCTTCAAGGAAAGCATCACAGCCTCATAGGGCTGGTTACTAATTAAAACTCTAGAGATCATCTCTCCCATCCCTTCCCTGCACAGGCAACATGGCTGAGGCTCAGAACGAAGATGTGACTTGAAAGAGGGCCCAGAGCAGTCGTGTAGCTGGGATTAGACCCCAGGTTTTCTGGTTCAAGATAATTAGCCCCGAGCCCCTTCGCCATGCCGTGATTACAAGCTTTAATGGGCTTGGGCTGTTCTGGAGGTGAATCCTTTCACAGACACACACACTCTGACAAACTGTGCCTCTGTGTGGTAGTCTCACATTTGGGAACAGGGTGAAAAAGGTTGATGGTCAGAAAAGGCCTGAAGATCAGAAGACCTCCCTGCCCCCAAACTCTTTTTCCTAGCTCCACTGATCTGCAACCTCCAGGTTCTGCTTAATGAGAGGACAGCAGGCCCCAGGACCACAGGGACCTAATGACCCAACTCTCCAAGGGTGGCCTGAATCAGAAAGCACATGTCCTCATTTACCTAGAGAAAGGCTTCTTTTAAGTAGAGAGTTCTTTGCCAGAAACGAACCTATAAGGAAGTTGTTGGGCTCACCTGCATTTGCCCTGCGGCCTCTGCTGAGTGTTGGCTGTGGGCAGGCATCCTGCCAGACATCCTAGAGGGTGCCCTTGCCCATGGCAGGCTCCTCTAGGCCTTCAGAACCCTACCACAGTCTAGCCCCGGGCTAAATACGCAGCTCAGTCTGTCCTTCAATCAGCAGCCCTCCTTAAAGACAGGATGATTTGTGGTGAGGGAAAGGACCCAAACTGCTCTCACCAAGGTTCCAATGACCTTCCAATGATCCAGCCACCATTTCTGAATTTTTTTTTTCTTTTTTTTTTGTACAGGTGCCGAGCTACATCCACAGCCCGTTTTATATGTTAGAGACAGGGTCTTGCTAAGTTGCTTAGAGCCTTGCTAAATTATGCTGAGGCTGGCTTTGGACTTGTGATCCTCCTGCCTCAGCCTCCTGAGCTGCTGGGCTTACAGGTGTGGGATTCCAGAAGCCCATGGCTTCTGAATTGTTTCCTTGTTTGGTTTCACGCTGTATCTACCACACCCTTGCGCCTCTCCATTTACTTTCCATCACCCACGTGTCCTGGCTCTGTCTTTCCTTCGCTGACAGTTTCTCTTCCCTCACCTTTTCTTGGTCCTCTTTCCACCTCCTAAGCTAGTTTTCCCCAAACTCTGTCCTTTGCCCTCTTTCAAGAACATTTCATCCACTCCTTTGATTTTGACACCACTGATAAGTCAATAATTTCTGTAGACTTAACTTGTCCAAATGAAACTCGTATTTCTTCATGTTCGTAGTGTTACAAGTAGAAACCCAGGAGAAAACCTCAGCTCCTTCTTTGATTCTTCATCTTAGCCCAATGATTCCACCTTTCTTTCTTTTTCTTTTGTTAGTGGGGTGGGGAGTGGGTACTGGGGATTCAACCCAGGGGCATTTTACCACTGAGTTACATCCTCAGCCCTTTTTATTTTTTGAGACAGAAGCGCTTACAGCCTCACTAAGTTGCTGAGGCTGGCCTTAAACCTGCAATCCTCTTGTCTCAGACTCCAGAGCCACTGGGATTACAGGCTCTCCAGTCCTTTTTTAAAATTTTGAGACAGGGTCTCACTAAGTTCCTCAGAGAGGGTGTCCCTAAATTGCTGAGGCCATTCTCCAACTTGCAATCCTCCTGTTTCAACCTCCTAAATTGCTGAGATTGCAGGCATGTACCACCTCACCCGGTTAATGGTTTTACCTTTGAAATTCCTCTCCAGTGCATGCTCTTTTCCACAGTCTCATGACTATGACCTTGGAAGTGAAACTGTATATAGTGGCTAAGAACTTAAACTTGGAAGGGGACTATCCAATTTAAATCTTGGAGAGGTTGAGAGCCACGAGTCCGAATGGCACCTGGCATATTACCAGAAGGAGTGCTTGAGAGGTGAGGCCAGCGAGCCATTAAGATGATGATAATTAAGTTAAGCTGTGTATAATTGCTGTGACTGGATGATGCTGGATTGAAACAGGCTGTCTATTCAGTTGTATATGGACCCCTGCTGTCCAGCAATAGGGCGGCTCCTGCTGCCCCGGAGTTCCCGTTGAGTTCCAGTTGAGATTCCTGGAGAGTTCGCGTTGGTTGGTGAGGTTCCGGTGGAGGGAGTTCTGGTTGGTGTGTGGTGTTCCTGGGAGGGCCACGTGGGTGGTGTTCCCGGGAGTTTGGGCAATAAAGGAGTTCCTGTTTGAACCTACAAGTGCCTCGTGGCGGCTCAGTTATCTTGTGCCCAGCCAGACTGCGGCATCTACCAATTATTAGCTGTGTAGAGCCTCGGTTTATCATCAACATTGTGAAGATTAAATAAGATGGTTCTTATGATGCTAAATAAAGCATCTAGAATATAAGCACTCAATACATAGTGACGTCATGTGTTGGTACATAACTTTGGTGTACAAGAAATACATCTCTACTCGTCTCTGTTTCTTGCCCCAATTCTGCTGGGATTGTGGAAGCAATGTGAGTCAGTTTGGGGGCCCAAGAGGAGATGATATGATGATATGTGCTACCAAGTCTTGAGAGGGGAGGCCCATCTGGTCCTCAGCTATCTGTTCACAAAGGTGTCCACTGACACTACTCTCCTTATCCTGCTGACCCTTTCAGGCCCAGACCTTCACCAAGCAGAAGAGGAGGGTAACTCATTCAGGAACTTGACTTCTTGTTGGCTAGGGAATTTCTGCACAGCTGTCTAAGGGTGTATCTTCCTGGCTTCTGAATGTCTCAGGGTCCAGTACTACTGGAAGCCTTCCCAGCCTCCCCAGGAAGTGGAATATGGAACTCCTATCACCAGGAGCCCCCGGCACCTGGACTCTCTCTACTTCCCCCAGCTGGCAAGAGGCAAGGGGAATGACCCCCTCACGGTCTTCAGGGGAATACTCACTGTCTTCAAGTCTTACTTTTCTGAGTATTGCCTCAGCACTGAATCTTCTCTGTTCCTCTGAAGGCTGTAGGTTTGGATGCTTTCTGTTTTCTGCCCATTCACACGTCTCCCCTGATTCAGTGAGCATAGATGGCCTGGTTACTTGAGTGGAGATAGGAAAAATACCAGACGAGGGACCCCATCACACAACATGCCAAAAATATTTTTCAGCATAATTATTGTTATAGTTCTCTTTCATTAGTTCAGGTCTTTATTAGCTTTCATCAGGGCTACTGCATTAGTCTCCCAGTTGGTCTCTGTCCTTAGCAACATCTTCCTCCAAGCCCCTGCTATAAGAGGACTCTTTCTAAATTGTAAATCGGGTCCTGATCTAGGTCTAAAGGGCTCCCTGACTGATAACTGCTAACCAGACCCCATCCCAACACCTTAGCATGACACCATGGTTGTGTGGGACCTGGCTTGACCTCAGAGATCCCATCCTGCCTCTCCCTGGCTGAACTTTGCTCTCCCCTGAAGCTGAATTTGGTTTTATTTCTCCAAATCACTTAAAAACAAAAAACCGGGGATTGAACTCAGGGGCACCCGACCACTGAGCCACATCCCCAGCCCTCTTTTGCATTTTATTTAGAGACAGGGTCTCACGGAGTTGCTTAGGGCCTCTCTAAATTGCTGAGGCTGGGGTTACAGGCAAGAGCCACCCCTCTGGCTTCTCCAAATCATTTTTTGAACAAGCTGTTTCCACTGACCCGAACGCCTCTCTCCTTCAATCTGATAAATTCTCTTTCACTTTTCAACCCACATCAGCTGTCAACCTCCAAAAGGAAGACTGCCCAGCCCTTCACTGCAAGGACTGCCTCCCTCCTGTGTGTCGCTGACCCTGATGTATCTGACGACACGGCTGTCCGGCTGTCCGTCCTAGAACAGCAAACTCAGTCCAGCTTTCACTGCATCATCCAACGCTGCTCCACCACCTGCTTCAGTGCACAGCACCTAGTAGGCCCGCAAGCTAGCGAGACCCAAGAAAACAATGGGAAACGGGGCCGGTAATGGGAACACTACGGAGGAAGGACAGAGGCGAGGCTAGGGGCAACGAAGGAGCCTGGGGAAACGGCGAGGCAGGGGAGCGCCGCCTCAGGTGGCCCGCATCCTCCCCACCTGGGCCGCCGGACTCTGCGGCCGAGGACTACAAATCCCAGGGTCTCCCGCGGCGGACACCGGAAGTGTCCTGTCCCAGGGTGGCGACGGAGAGGGGCGGTGGCCCAGCGGCGGGAGATTCAAACCTGGAAGAAGGAGGAACATGGAGGGGAGAGGAGCGGGCCGGGGCCGGGCGGCCTGTGAGTGCAAAGAGGGTCCGGGAGGGTCCGGGGGGCTGCTGCTGGTGGGGTCGTGGCCATGGCGGGCAGGGTGGCTCGGGGGCTGCGCCGGGCTCGCTGGGCCAGCGGCGGGGGACCTGGCCGGTGCGAAACGCCCCCGGCTGCCGGAGCTTTCCAGAACCTTCTCATCCCCGAACCGTGGGACTGCAGGGCGGGAGAACGCAGTGGCCTAGACGCCCCTGGAAACTCAGCTGTTGCTGATGACCGACGGCCTTGCCCAGCGTCGCCGAGGATCGGGATTCCTGGGGAACCTGGGAAGCCCTTGGGCTTTGAGACAGTGTCCCTCAGGTGCCCGAATGGCCCGAGAGGCTTGTTAGAGTGCAGATTCCCGAGTTCCACCCCGGAGTTCCCGCTCTGTAGATCTGGGTTGGAGCCCGTAGTCAGCGTTTATAAGGAGCACCCCACCCAGGTGGTGGAGGCCGGTGGTCCTGAGCCTCACTTCCAAGACACTGCGCTAGGGACCGAGATGGGTTGGAAGGGTGGGAGGGCAGGTCTCCGTCAGATCGTCTGAATGACAGGCAAAACCTGCTAGCTCTTCCTTCACCCCCTCCTTCTCCATTAGGGGGGAGAGAGAGAGAGAGAGAGAGAGAGAGAGAGAGAGGTGCAAAGTCCTTCAGTCCTCAGTTCATAACTCTGAGGTGATGTCACCCACTTACTGTTTTATTTTCCATGCTCAACAGCCAACACTTGTTCCTTGTACACCCCCTCAGAGGAACTGTTGGATTTCCTGTGGTTGGCCAGTGCTTTCAAATCTGTACTTGGAGATGTGTGTGTGTGTGTTAGCTTTCATAACTGCCAGTTCATAACTGCTACTGTCCTGCCCTCTCCCAAACCATATTGCTGGATATGCAATATGAGGAAATAGGATCAGGAGTGAGAATGACATTAAATGCTGAGTCAAAGGCAGAATCACCAAGCTCTGACTCTCTAGGACCTCTCTGTTTATCCTTCTGGTGGGTGTATTTCACTTTCTCTCACCCTTTGTGTTTCATTTTTATTGTCTTCTCTAAAGAGAATATAGAGTTGGGGCAGAGGAGGAGGCAGAGAATAAATGGAGGCTGTGGGCTAAGGTCACACAGGAGGACACTATCATTTAAGGCATTCCCACTTCTCAAGTTTAAAGGTCAGAATGTTGTCTGCATTTTCTTTAACTTGAAAGTTATTTTGCTCCTCGGTGACCTATAACAAAAGGATAGCTGAAGTACCTTTATGATTTACAAAAATTCTCTTTGTCCTTCCACTTAATCCCAAGTGAATGGTGTGGTTCCCACTTTTGGACCACCTTTTCCCCTTTCTGTTTGTTTGTTTATTTATTTCTGTAATACTCAGAACTGCATATAAATAAGTAAAATAAAGATATTCTGTCCACCTACAACTAAAAAAAAATTATATATATAAAAGAGTAGAGTTCTGAGGGCTAGGAACATAGCTCAGTGGTAGAATACTTGCCTAGCATGCAAAAAAAAAAAAAGAAGAGTAGAATCCACTAGTGCCCAGGGCCTGGTCAAAAGGAGGTATTGAATGAATGAGTGGCTGTTGAGTGATGAATCCTGGGTGGTTCTGTTAATTGAGCCTTTGAGAGAGCACCTGATGAGGATGGCACAGCTCGTCTTCTTGGAGAACTCAGAGGCTAATTAGGAATAAATTATGGAGCAAAATTCTCAGCCACGGAAAGTTCTAGACAGCCCTGCTTGGGCAAGATGGAGGGAAGGAGGAGGAGGACAGGAATATGGCTACAGAGGCAAAGGAAGAAATGCCTCTGGCATAGGAGGCCCCTGGTAAAGGGTGTCCTAGAAGAGGAATGGGGACGTATCAGGACTCTGAGCAGGGCTGCCTCGGGAAGTCTGTTAAAGCTTCAGTGCTGAGGCCTTCACGGACCTTCTTCCCTCCGCAGATGAACGCCTCACAGCTGAGGAGATGGATAACCAGAGGAGGCAGAACGTGGCCTATCAGTACCTGTGTCGGCTGGAAGAAGCCAAGCGGTGAGTGAGGCCCAGCAAGATGGACTCCTCCTGGTCTCCTTTCCCACTCCCCCACCCCCAGGCACCTGTTCCCAAAGCAAATGCAACAGGACAAAGATCTGTTCTGTGGGAAAGGGCAAGCTAAAATAGCATCTTCTCTCTTGAGGGGGTTATTTTGGTACTAGGGGTTGACTCAGGGGTGCTTTACCATTGATCTACTCTCCCAGCCCTTTTTTATTTTTTATTTTGGGACAGTCTCGCTAAGTTGCCCAGGCTAGACTTGAACTTGCCTTTTGCCTTAATCTCCCAAGTTGCTGGGACCACTTGCGTGGGTCAGCATGTTCTGTTTCTTTAAGGCAAACCCCAAACATTATATCTTTTTATCCTCTTTCACACTTCAATGCATATTTCCAAAACCTGTGGACATTTGCTTACATAACCTCAGTGCCATTATAATACCCAACTAAATTATCTGCAGTCCCTGGAAGATCAATGCCCAGGCCATTTTCAGATTGTCCTGATTGTTGAAAAAGACAACTAGTTTTTTCCCTTCGACTCATTCAAATAAAGTTCTAGAGAAGCTCTCGTATTACACTTACCTCTTCAGTCTTCTTTAATCCAGAGCAGCTCACCTCCCCGTTTTCCGTTTTTATGTCATTGACTTATTTAAGAAACTGGATCACTTTTCCTGTAGAACATCCTACATTCTGACTTTATTTGCTTCCTTGTGTCATTCAACTTGTTCCTCTAAACCCCAAATTTCCTATAAATGGATGTTGGTTCTAAAGGCTTGATTAGATTCAGGTTCAACATTTTTTTGACAAGTAGACTTCATGGGTGGTGGTGTGTTTCACTTCACATCTCATAGGAGGAACAGTGTCTGCTTGTCCCACTTTTAGTGATGTTAGTGTGATCTGGGAGCTCAGGTTATAGCCTTTTCTTTATTTCATAAAACTCACCATTAACCTTTCTAATGGCTTCCTCCTTCATTGACCTACCAGAATCTATTATTTTATTGGAAATGCAAAATAACTGTTTTCTAATTCTGTTATGTCTTCATTAATCAGCCGAAAATCTGCCCAAACAAGACCAAACAAAACTTTCCCTCATCATCTTGGGACTATTTGGTTATTCTACCATCCAATTTATCCAGGAGGAGGAGCAGGATAAACATCTAATTCTTTCCTTTTAACCAACAGTCCTTTTGTGTGTGAGGGTGGGGAGGGAGTACTAGAGATTGAACCCAAAGTGCTGTACCAGTGATCTAAAGCCCCAGTCCTTTTTATTTTGAGATAGGATGTCATTGAGTTGCTGAAGCTGGCCTTGAATTTATGGTCCTCCTGCCTCAGCCTCCAAAGACTGGGATTACAGGCGTACACCACTGCGCCTGGCCAAAGCTGAGTTATGAGCCACATAACATGAGCTTTCTGCACCCAAACATGAGCTTTCTGCACCAGGTTCCCAGGGAACAATGCAATATGGAGGAAGAAGCAGATTCACCTTGGTTCAGTAGACTGTTACACAGCCAGGCAGACGAGAGCTTATGTTATATAACAAGCAAAGTCTGTTTAAGCCTCACTGAAGATGGGCAGGTGCAGGATCCCTGAGGGAGGATTTTCTGGGGTCAGTGAGGCTGAGGGTTGGCTTGTCCAGGTATTTGGGGCAGCTTGGAAGAAGGTGGGATCAGTCAGGCAATGGGGCAGAAGGGGAAGGGTTGGGGAGGGAGGACAGGTCCTGCAGTTGGTGTAAACTAGCGTGGCCCACCAGAGCGGGTGAGAAGGCTCTCTGCTTTCTTGCTCCTAGCTGGATGGAGGCCTGCCTGAAGGAGGAACTTCCTTCCCCGGTGCAGCTGGAGGAGAGCCTCCGTAACGGAGTGTTGCTGGCTAAGCTGGGCCACTGTTTTGCACCCTCTGTGGTTCCCCTGAAGAAGATCTACGACGTGGAGCAGCTGCGGTACCAGGCGAGCACTCTCTACTTTCCTCCTCTCAAGCTACCCCGTCTCCTAGCAGCTGCGAGGGTAGAGTGCCCATAGAATTTATTGTCCAAATCTGGATACTTTAAAGGATGAAAGAGGATGCTATTAATCATTGCACTGGGACAACAGGTATTAATCAGTGTCTCTCTGTCAAGTGGGTGTGGATCATTTTTAGCAGCAAGGACACTTGCTAGGTGTGTTTTAAGATGGCCCTGAAGGGCTTGGGATGGAGCACAGGATGGAGCTCAGAGATAGAGCACTTGGGTGGTATGTGCAAGGTCCTGATGTTCATTCCCAGCACAGCAAAGTTAAAAAGAAAATGATGACCCTGAGACTAGAACTGCTTGCAGACTCCTCTGCCCACAGGCTACACGCAGTGACTAGTGGGCTTTGCCACCCTGAGTTCTTCCTGGGCATGCACCTCTTCTCCATGCTGTAGCCAGCTTAAACCTCCTCCCAGCTCCAGACTCCCCTTTGCTGGATTGTTAGCCCCACCCCTGTGCCGTCATTTCCAGCTGTCCAAGTGGATCATCCATTCCTGGTGGCTTCTCTGTTGTGTTCCTCTGTCCTGGGAAGATGGGAAATCCACAGGGTGGGGTCCTCCGGCTTTCCCCACCCTTTCCTCTTGACTCTCTAAGCTGTGGTGGGCTCTCTGCCCATAAGGAGCACTGACAACTGTGGAAATAAATTCTACTCTCTTCCCTTCCCTTTCAGGCAACGGGCTTGCATTTCCGCCACACAGACAACATCAACTTTTGGCTGTCGGCCATTGCCCACGTCGGTCTGCCTTCGGTAACACTGGGCCTCAAGATCATTTCCCATGTTCGGGCTCTGGGTGGGGCTCAGTGGCAGGGTGCTTGTCTAGCATGCATGAAGCCCGGGTTCCATCCCCAGCACCGCAAACAAACAAAAATATCGTTGTTCATCTTTACCTTCATCAGTCCTCTCCCCACTGACCCCCAGTTCCATAAGCTTTATCTTCCTGGGCTCTTTAGCCCCCATCTTCATGTATCTTCTGAATGACTCTAAGAGATCAATTCCTTGGGGCTGTGTGTCTTTGAACTGAGTGCCTTAGTCTCTGTTCCACTTCCCTATGGATAAAATGGGGTGAAGGTCTTCTGGCCTGAGTTACAGCTGCCATTCTGCAGTGGGGCCCCTGTATAACACCAGAGATATGCTTATATCAGCCAGCCATCTCTCCATGAGAATTCCAATGGAGTAAGGACATCCTTAGGTGGTGGGCTTCAAGTTGGACTCCTAGGCCTAAGACCCTCGCTGGGTGCCTGCTGCATGTTCTTTATTCTGTGAGTCTCAATTTGTTTCTCAACTTTGAAATGGATAAAGGACCCTGCCCTGTTTTATCTTCTGATGGGATCCCCTGCTCGGTACAGATCCTCTTTGTAAAGAACTACAAGGCATGATAGGATTCTCTAAGGTGTGGTTCTTTTCCGTTTTGTTTTCCTTCCCTGTAGAAGGGAACTCTAAATGAGGAAACAGTAGTGAAGAAAGATGCCCTTTGTTTTGTTTTGTTTTGTTTTTGACGGGAGGCAGAAGCGATGGAGGGCGTGTGCCTTCAGTGGGACTGACATTAAGTCTCTAGATTTGGTCCTTTATCCTAAGCCTACATGTAGCCAAGATGTATTGAGGTTAGGCCTCATTATAGTCACCAGAGAAGACATGCCTAGGGTGCCCCAGTTCTTAAAGGGGCCACCACTGACCAGGGGCCTCTGACTTGGAGACAGGGATGACATATCCTGATGTCTTTGTGCTCCCTGGCAACGCATGCCTCCTTGGGCTCCCCATGGGAACACGGCCAGCCCCCCAGCATATCGCCTTTCTGGTGGGAATCTAAGGTGAGGGACATGAGCATAGGCTTATTGTGGCTATAAGTGACTGGGGCCTATTTTTCCTGGAAGATAGGGTTTGTATCCTATGGCCTTGATAGCATCATCTGGGGTTGAGTTAAACCGGGCACCCTGTGACTGAGTGACTGTGGCTGTCTTGGCTCAGTGCCGTTCTTTTATTATTATTTTTTGGTACTGGGGATTAAGCCCAGCTGCATTTAACCACTGAGCCACATCCCCAGTCCTTTTTTATATTTTATTTAGAGGCAGGGTCTCACTGAGTTTCATAGGGCCTCGCTAAGTTGCTGAGGCTGGCTTTGAACTCACGATCCTCTTGCCTCAGCCTTCTGAGCAGCAGGATTCTAGGCATGCGCCACCGTGCCCGGCTGCCTTTCATTTATATTGAACTGCCTAGAAATGACTAAGGAGATTGACGTAGAAGCCTCAGGCATAGGGGACACACGCCTCGGGTTGGAGAGGAAGACCCAGTTGCTCCGCTCCTCTGTACATGCCTGGTGCTGCTCAAAGGCCCTCAGTGGTGGTAACTGGCTGGTTTCCCTTCTAGACCTTCTTCCCGGAGACCACAGACATCTATGACAAGAAGAACATGCCCCGGGTGATCTACTGCATTCATGCTCTTAGGTGAGAGATCCCAAATTCTGTCACCCAGGTTCCTCTGGGTAGATGTAACCAATAATTGTCAAGAAACACAATAGGAAGGAGGGAGGGTAGACCATAGCAAGCACCTCTCCAGAAAGTTAGACGCACCAGGGTAAGTTGAGATTTATGTGACACTTACGTGAGAAAGAGCAGTTACGGTGGATCCTTGTAACTGGGGTATAAAGGAATCAGAATAGGACCCATCCAGAGCGTCACATGCAAGCCACTGAGTGTGAATGGCAAAGGCCGTCATTTAACTAAACCACAGACCGGTTCCTGTGGTCACCATGCCATCTCTTCCTGCCTCCCCCTGTCCTTTGTGCCTCCATTCCTGGGCTCAGCAGGTCTCGGGCTTGCTGAGCCCTTCCTATCCTCCATCTCCATCCTGTGACCTCCTACTGCAGTGTACCCTTTGCGAAGCCTTCCCAGTCCCCCGGACCTCCCACAGCATCTTGCTGACCTTCTGTAGCACTTGCTTTGGGCTGATGGACGACATTTCTCCCTGTGGACTGGGGGTGGCTTGAGGGCAGGCGTTGAGTGGCCTTCTGGTCCCCACGGTGTGCCCCACAAACTCACTGTAGGCAGAGCACTGAAGTGAACAGGCCCCAACGCCTTCCGTTCTTCCCCAGTCTCTTCCTCTTCCAGCTGGGATTGGCCCCTCAGATCCATGACCTCTACGGGAAAGTGAAGTTCACAGGTAAGCCAGCTCCTTCCCAGACATCACCACCTGGCCAAGGCCTGGGAATGCCTGGCCTGACCAAGGGCACCGGTGGTCTCTTTCCAGCTGAGGAACTCAGCAACATGGCCTCTGAACTGGCCAAATATGGCCTCCAGCTGCCTGCCTTCAGCAAGATCGGGGGCATCCTGGCCAATGAGCTGTCTGTGGATGAGGCTGCAGGTGGGGCCTGGGCTCTGCCTGCTGGGAATCGGCCCAGTGAACGTGGGAGGACTCCAGGCCTCAGTGCCCGGCTCTGTTCTCTGGTGTCCATAGGCGTGGGTGGTCAGTTACCTGGCTTCTGGGGATGAAAAGGGGTGACGTAGAGTGGCCCACAACTGGTTGGGCTCTGGCCCGGCATTTTTCCTGGCCTTCTGACCTTGTTCCCGTGTCTCCGCCCAGTCCACGCAGCTGTCCTTGCCATCAATGAGGCAGTGGAGCGAGGGGTGGTCCAGGACACCCTGGCTGCCCTGCAGAATCCCAGTGCCCTTCTGGGGAATCTTCGAGAGCCTCTGGCAGCCATCTACCAGGAAATGTTGGCCCTGGCCAAGGTGGAGAAGGCTGCCAATGCCAGGAACCACGTAAGGACCACAGGGGAGGGCAGAGCCAAAGTGAGTGGCTTGGGAAGTCTCAAGTGGAACAGGACACCTGGGTCCCGTCTCTAAGTCCCGAAGCTGCTTCTTAGAGAAACTGTAACTAGAGTGATCTTAGAGAAATGGAGAGGAACGTGGGAGAAGGGTGTGAATTCAAAAGAGTCAACTGGAGAAAAGGCTCTGGCGGGATGGTCTCCAGGGAAGCCTGAGAGGCTCTGGAATGGGGGACAGGATGAGATTAGACTGGAGATTCCAAAGGTGGGTCTGCTTTAACTGTGTCAGGGTCAGGCGTTAGACCCCACACTGTCCCCAGAGTCCTTAGGAGTGGACTGACCTTTGGTCTTGGGAAGGTCTACAGAAGAAGAAATCAGTGTAGACAGGGAGGAAGGAGAAGAAGACTCCATTGGTCTTCCTAGGAGTCCCACTCAATGTGGTTTTTGCAGGATGACAGGGAAAACCAGGACATCTATGACTACTATCTTACCCAGGCTGAAATCCAGGGCAACATCAACCATGTCAATGGTAAGAGACAGGCCTGGAGGGGCTGGAGGGGCTGAGGGGTGAGCCTTTGCACTGAAAGGCTGAGGGATGCCTTTGGCCCCACTTGGGCCAGCTGTTACCTCGGGGAAATCTAGGTCTGAGGAGTGTTGCTCTGCTTTCTAGCCATCAGTGTCCAGAGGAGAAGTGGTCCCTCCAGGGAAGTTTCTGTTTGCTTGAAGGCCCAAGGAGGGAGCAGAGACAAAGGGGCAGAACTTTCAGCTCCTGGTGCAGGGGGGCAGTTGGACCTGGGGTCCCTTGGAGAAGGGAATGGGGTAAAGATGAAGGTAGAGGAGATCAGGGCAGGAAGGGCAAGATGGGTGGGCATTTTCCAGTTAGGGTTAGAATATCCTCAGGGTCCAGGATGGTAAGATGGAAAGGCTGTGAAGACCAAGCTAAAGAATTGGGGCTGGACCAAATGGGCTCTGGAACCCAGGGGGCAAGGGTGGAGGTAATTCTGGGCCTATAGGAAGAAGCGGATTCCCAGGGCTGGGCTGGGCTGGGAGAGATGGGCTGTCTCACACTAATCATCGTGGAGTCTTGGTCTTTATCAGTCCGTGGGGCTCTAGAAGTCATTGATGAAGCCCTGGAAAGACAGAGCTCTGAAGCCTTGCTAGAGGCCCTTCAGGACCCTGCCCTGGCCCTACAAGGGGTGAGAAGAGACTTTGCTGACTGGTACCTGGAACAGCTGAGCTCAGACAGGGAGCAGAAAGCACAGGTAAGGCTCTGTTATCTGACACTCTTTCCTGTGAGGTAGGAGAGGGCTCTTCTCAGCGTCTCCACTGTTAGTTCTTTGTATTCAGCAGGATGTGATCAACTGCGTAGATGGTTCAGTCACTCCAAAGCCTAGTGCATGAGACTAACCAGCTTCTACTCTCTGACAATCCCTCAGACTAACTGGGAGGGACCCAGGAGCCATCTAGTTGGCAGACTCCCCCGTTGGTGAACTGAGACCTCAACTTCGTCTTGTTTTCAGTGCTGTAGACTTTCTCTCTGACACTGTGGACATTTGTGTTGTCTAGGTTGTTGTTTCAAGTTCTTGGTAAGAAAAGTTAATGGTGGGTTAATTGCCTGGGTGTCATAGTGCACACCTGTAATCCCAGCTACTTGAGAGACTGAGGCAGGAGGATCACAAGTTCCAGATCATTCTCAAAAACTTAGCAAGACTATCTCAAAATAAAATAAAAAGGAGGGCTGGGGTTGTGGCTCAGAGGCACAGAGCTTGCCTAGCATGTGTGAGGCACTGGGTTCAATCCTCAGCACCACGTATAAATAGATGAATAAAATAAAGATTCATCAACATCTAAAAAATATCTTAAAAATATAAAGGACTGGGTGTCAGATGCAGTGATGCCCATAATCCCAATGATTCGGGAAGCTGAGGCAGGAGAATTGCAAGTTTGAGGCCACCCTGAGTAACTTTGTGAGACCCTGTCTCAAAATTTTAAAAACGGCTGGGGATATGACTCAGTGTTAAAGTACCCAGGGGTTCAATCCCCGGTAATGCAAAAGTTAAAAAAAAAAAAAGGACTTGAACCATGGAGGACACTTGTAATCCAAGCAACTCCAGAAGCTGAGGCAGGAGGATCACAAGTCCAAGGCCAACCTAGGCAACTTAGGGAAACCTTGTCTCAAAAACAAAAAAAAAAATTTTTAAGAGATGGGGGTATAACTGAGAGGCAGAACGCACCTAGGTTCAATCCCCAATGTCAAAAAAAAAAAAATTAATAATAATAAATAAATAGAAAGGGCTGGGAATGTAGCTTAGTGGCAGAGCACTTGCCTAGCATGTGTGAGGTCCCGGGATCAATTTTCAGTACCAGAAAAGAAAAAAATGTATATATATATATGGGTTAATAGGATGGGTTGACCAGGTTATTTTGCCTAAAGGCGAGAGAGGTAGGACTGGGGGAGGGTGGGTTGGTGGACCTGGGAGCTCTTGCTGGCCACTCCTGAAGCATGTCCCTGGTCCTGGAGACTTTTCTTTTACTGGATCTCTTCCCTCTTTCAGGAACTGGGCCTGGTGGAGCTTCTGGAAAAAGAGGAAGTTCAGGCTGCTGTGGCTGCAGCCAACACCAAGGGTGATCAGGAGCAAGCCAGTAAGTCCTCCCCAGGCCGAGGCCCAGACTGGGTGGCTCCCAACCCCTTAGAAGAGCATCCCATCCCTTCCTGGGTTCTGTATTGAGCAAGGCTCACGACTGCCCAGTGTCCCAGCCCAGCAAGGGACTTTCCCCCTCACATACTCTGCTCCCATTTCTGGCTGGCTGGAGGGACACTACAGATAAGTTAATCAGGGCCTTAGAGATAGTGCCTTGTCAGTACTGCACTGGCCTGGACTCCTGGGCATGCAGTTTCCATCCGGGCAGTTCACCTATAATTTTGACAAGTGTCAACCTGCTTGAATTTCTTTGGCTTATGAAATGTAGTGATTTCCCAGGTGAGAGAAGAAACTCATATTCTAGCTCAGTTTCCTTTAAGAATATTACTTACAAATACAATTCCTTATTCAAAGAATGTGAATGAGTCATGATTTCCCTCCAAGAGGTCAGTCTGTCTAGCCAGAGTGAAGACAAGGATGCTCAGGCCGGCTACCGTGGCCTGCAGACACTAGATCTGTCACGATTGCCTGACTCGGTCTGACTTGCTGTCAGGTTCTGAGATTGCTTGGTAGCCACTTACCTATGCCTAGCAGCTTTCGAACGCCAGCTCACAGTAGCTCCCAGGTCACTCCTGGCTAGCTGCTTGCCTTATCTGCGTGGCTGGAACATTCCCGCTGGCTGTTGCCAGAGGAATCTCAGCACAGATCAGATCTCCTCTCCCTTGTTGGACATCTTCAGATCTTCGTGGGTTCTTTCATTATTTATCCTCCACTTTGGTCCTATCTCCTTGGCCTGGCAGATAAGACCTTTCCAGAATTCTTCCCCACCTCTTCTGTCCGCATTCCATCCCGCTCTGCTGAGCCGAGGACCTGCTCCTGATGCCCCAGCCTTTCCCGGCACTAGGCTCTGGTCCTCTGGATTGCATCTCTCCCACATTTTCACCTGTCAGGAGCAGATGGAGACACCTCTAGAGCTGTCTCAAAGACATGGTTTTCCTCCGTGAGGCCTCGCTGCTCCCTCCCAGCCAGAATCCCTCCCCCCCTGCTGCCGGATAGCCTTTTCTGGGGATGGGGGGGTACTTCTCACCTGGCCTTGACAGCAGTGCTCCACGGGTATTTTTGTAGCCGTATTTCTCCCCAGTAGGCTGTGTGCTCCTTGATGCCAGGGTCCACATCTGCCCAGAGTTTGTAAACTCAAACTACTTAAATGCACCATGGCCCCTTTCGAGTTTATTCCCGCCTGTTGGAGCTGGTTCCATATTCCTCTGCACTGTCACCAAGGTTTGGTCCCTGGAGCCCCTTGACTAAGCTTCTCTTAGTTACGCTTCGTAGCCACCTGTCAATCTTGTGCTCACTACCTTAGGAGCTCACCTCTGCCTTGACAGCCGCTCCTGTTCTTGCTGAGCTACTCTACTTCCAGACCTGACAAATCGCTTCTTCGGGAGCCTCTTCTTAAAGCAACCCAGCCCCTTTTCCTCCTGAACATTTAGAAACACGTTTTGAGCCTGAAGAATGAATGGCTTTCTAGAGCGGTTACAAGGCCATTAGCCCTCGGAGGTCCCCCGCAGAGCCCAGTTAGCCAGGAGAACCCGGGCAGGGAAGGCTGAGCCTGGGCATCCTCTTGCTTTCCTCCCCTGCAGTGCTCCAGGCTGTGAGGCGGGTCAACAAAGCCATCCAGAGGGGAGTGGCCGCTGACACCGTGCGGGAGCTGATGTGCCCCGAAGCCCAGCTGCCTCCAGTGTATCCCTTTGCCGCCACTGTGTACCAGCAGGAGCTGGCAGTGCTCCAGCAACAGCAGCAGGGGGTAAGCCCCAGAAGGGCAGGGCCAGGGGCTGCAGGCAGAGGGACCAGGGCAGTCCATTCTCCGAGATGCTGGCACGAGATAGGCCAGGGAAAGTGCTGTCACTTTTGCTTTCCTGAGCATTACCCAGCCAACGCCCCTGAGCAAACCCTGCTCCTCACTCACTTAGTCCTTAAGGGGACCCCACTGGGTAAGGAGGAGTATTTCCATTTTAGAGGTAAGGAAACCGAAATGCAAAGTAACTTGTGCAACTAGCAATGCTGGGAGTGAATGCGAGCCGGAATGTGCTGGAAGCACATGCTCTGAACAACTCCACTGTCCACCTCAGTCCAGTCCGTCCAGCTTCTCTGACAGTGAGATGATGGGACCTCGCTCAGGGACTCCCTGTCTGTGGGGGAGTTACAATACCCCTGTGGGTCCAGACAGAGACAGGAAGGGAGAGCAGACGACGTAGCTGCAAGAAGGCTTCAGAGCAGGGGGTGCGGCAGCAGAGCCTGGGCCCTGGGAAGGCTTCCGGAGACAGGAGAATCGTCCACCCACAGCAGGCATTTGCAGGGCGGCTACCTCAGGCACTAGCTGCGCCTTCAGGAGGAGCAGTCGCCACCTGCGAATCCCTTAGAACAAGGAAGTGCGAAATGAGTACCAAGAGGTAAACCAGAGCGAGCGAGGTTAGGGACTTCAGAGGCCCCAGTTTACGTCTGGCTCTGCTAGTCCTTAGCTGTGTGACATTGGGCCAGTCATTTACCCTCTCCACCCGTCACTGTTTTGTGAATAAAAAGGGAACAATAAGCCAAGCATGGCATCTCATGCCTGTAATCCCAGCAGCTCAGGAGGCCGAGGCAGGAGGATCGTGAGTGAGTTCAAAGCCAGCCTCAACAACTTAGTGAGACCCTAGGCAACTCAGTGAGACCCTGTCTCTAAAAAATGTATACATATATATAAAAGGGCGGGGGATGTGACTCTGTGGGTAAGCGCCCTCTGGGTTCAATCCTTAGCACTTGCCTAGCATGCATGAGGCATCAGGTTCGATCCTCAGCACCACTTAGAAATAAACAAATAAAGGCATTGTGTCCATCTACAACTACCAGAAATAATAATAATAAAAAAGGCAGGGGGCAGCAATCATATATCTACTCATTGGATTGTCATAAGGATTCAGTGAGTTAACAGGTGCTTAGAGAGAGGGCCTGGTAAGGAGGTTCTGGCCATCTTTACTATTTGTTGTTATTTGCACTGTTCTATTAATAGAAAGCAGGAAGGGTGCTCAGATAGAATAGCATCAGCAAATATTTGAAGAGGAGGCGGATGAGAACTGGGCAGAGAAATGGGTCCAGGGCCTTGCCATGCACAGCACAGGGTGGAGGTGCCCCTCTGCCCCCATCTCTGGCCTAGTGCAGTTCTCTTTTCCCCTGGTACTGGGGATGAAGACCAGGGCCTTGCTCTGCTATCAGCCCAGAGCAGGACTGACGTGAAGTGAAGACTAGAAGGTCGCTGGCGAGGCCACTGCTCAGGTCTGCGCTCTGGAATCGGCAGTTGGGTCAACAGACATTATTGGCCACGGGCTTGGCTGTGAGATGGGACTCGTCATGATACTCGCCTCATTGGCTCGTTATGAAAATTAAATGGTGCTAGGTGTGAAGTGCTTCTAGCTGCCCAGAGTAAGCATCCCCAGGTTTTTAGTACGATTGTTGTCAGTGGGTGAATCCAGACCCCAGGCTTTGAGCATAGTCTAGGGGATGGTAGGACCCCGGGCAGGCCAGCAGGATTCCCCAGGGGCCCAGCTCCCCCTGGGAACCACCCTCCCTCCCGTTGCAGGAGCTCTGCCAGGAGGAGCTCTTCGTGGCTGTGGAGATGCTGTCGGCTGTGGTCCTGATCAACAGGGCCCTGGAGGCCAGGGATGCCTGTGGCTTCTGGAGCAGTCTGGCGGATCCTGCCACCGGCCTGGCGGAGGTGGAAGGAGAAAATGCTCAGCGGTGAGAAAGGTTCTGCCACTTGTGGGGGCCGGGGATGGAGGGAATACGGATGAGACTAAGACTTGTGCTGGAGATCAGCCTTTAGCAGGTGCTCCACCCTGGGCCCAGGCGCCTCTGGGTCTGTTCACAGCTCTGGGCCTGTTCTCCGGTGTGGATGAGTTCGGTCGCTCCCCTTGTCTCCACTGATGGATTCTTTCACAGCAAATGTTTGAGTAGCTTCCCACAGGCCAGGTACTATTCTAGGTGCCGCTCTCCTCAGACCTCCGTGAGATAACAGGAGAAGGGTGATTACCAGAGTGGAAGCCAGGGAAGCCGAGGGCGGGCGCACGGGAGGGGTGGGCTTCCTGTTCCCACTGTGTGTTTTCAGATGACCTTCTGCATGGGGGGTCATCCAAGAGGGACCTAAAGGGCCTAATGAGGCAGAGGCCTAAAAAGAAATATTCTGGGTGCATTCAAAGGACACCAGGAAGGACTGGGCTGTTAGCTCAACGGCCAAGCGGGTGCTTAGCATGCGCAAGGTCCTGGTTTGATCCCATCCCTGGGACCACAAAAAGTGAAAACAGAACACGAGGAAGCCCGGGTAGCAGGGTGACCTGAGGCAGGGAGAGGAGTGGGAGGTGAAGACAGGGTAGCAGAGGCCAGACCAAGTGAGCAAGGAGGGAGACAGCTTGACCTACTTTAGCAGGGTCGTTCTGGCTGCTGGGCTGAGAATCGATCGCAGGGATGCGAGAGGCGAGGCAGGAAGACCTGGTAGGAGCTATCAGAGTAATCCAGACACTAGTGATGGGCTGTGGCCGAGGGCAGCAGCAGTGAGGGTGGAGAGAAGCGTCAGCTTGTGGCTGTTTTGAAAGCAGAAGTGGCAGGGTTGGGTGGTGGAGTGATGTGGGATGTGACAGGGAGTGGAGTCAGGTATGGCTCCAGGGTTTTGGGCAAGGAAGAGACCTTGGGACACAGTTTAATGGGGAATCAGGAGTCCAGATGTGAGCTGAGGGGTGTCCGTGCGTTTTTGTTGTCGTTTGGTACCAGGGATTGAACCCGAGGTGCTTAACCACTGAGCCGCAGCCCCAGCCCTATTTTGTATTGTATTTAGAGACAGGGTCTCGCCGAGTTGCTTAGGGCCTTGCTAAATGTCTGAAGCTGCTTCAAATTCCCATCCTCCTGCCCCAGCCTCCCAGGGCACCGGGATTACAGGCATGCGCCACCGTGCCTGGCCCAGGTGCTCTTTGTACACTCGTGTGGAGGTTCTGAAGAGGCTGCTGGATATCTGGCAGCTGGAGGTGTGCCTTTGGGAGTCATTAGCATTTAAGTCCTGAGGTTAGGGGTGAGAATTCAGGGAGAAGAGTTCTACAGACAAAAAATCAGGATGCACCTGTTTAGAGGTCAGGAGAAACCTGCAGAGAAGCCTTAGAAAGAACTGCCTGGGGTGGGGGTGAGCCCAGAGAGTGTGCTGTCCCACGAGAGGAACTGGCTCGAACATTTCCTGACTCTGGCTGACAGTGTACACACCACTCATCTTGCTCCCCTCTCCCTGCTGCCAGGTACTTTGATGCCTTGATGAAGCTGCGACAGGGGCGTGGAGTAGATGGGACCTTCCTGAGCTGGAATGACCTGCAGGCCACCGTGAGCCAGGTCAACGCCCAGGTCCAAGAAGAGACCGATCGTGAGTATACTGCAGGCTAGGGGGAAGGCGGTCTCACTAAGGCAATCCCTTCCCTCGGCCACAGTTCTGGGGCCTCTGCCCATCTAGGTCTCTCTTTCTCAGAGGTCCTTGCGGTCAGTCTTATCAATGAGGCTCTGGACCAGGGCAGCTCTGAGAAGACCCTGTCGGCCCTGCTGCTTCCTGCAGCTGGCCTGGAAGATGTCAGCCTTCCTGTTGCTCCTCGGTATCATCTCCTCCTTGTGGCAGCCAAGAGGCAGAAGGCCCAGGTGAGGTTAGGGCTGGCCGGGTGGGTCACCAGAGCAGGAGGGACAGCCCTGTGGGTACAGCTGTGCCCAGCATGCACCCAGGCAGAGCTCCATCCTGATGGCCACACTCCAAGGTGCGGGGCCCAGGCAGGATTCGGATCTCACGGGGGAAGCATGGCTCCAATTGCCAGGGCACTGGACAGCTGGGAAGAGCACAAGGCCTGGGACTCAGAGAAGCTGGGCTGAATTCCCTACCCCGATGCCTGCTGGCCACTTGTCCTTGACAAAACCCTTAAAGTCTCTGAACTTTATTTATTCACCTGTAAAATACTACACACCTCGCTCCTACAGATCTCCCAGAATGTGGGTGAAAATCAAGAGAGTTGACAAACGGTGCCCTGAGTATGTGGCAGTAGAGAGAGTGGCTGAGAACTAGGGCTCCTGGGCCAGATTATTTGAGTTTGCGTCGCACAGTCTGATCCTGCAGTGTTACTTAACCTCCCTTTGCCTGTTTCCTTGTCTACAGACTTGACATAATGAGCTCACCTCACAGTTATAGGGCTTAAGTGAGGTGCCAAGCATCATTTTGTGCCAAGCATTGTTTTATGTTCCTTATAAACATTAATTCATAAAAGTACTTTAGCAAGCCAGGCGCAGTAGCGCACACCTGTAATCCCAGCAGCTCAGGAGGCCGAGGCAGGAGGATCAGAGTTCAAAGCCAGCCTCAGCAACAGTGAAGCGATGTTGTGAGCCACAGCCGTTGAGAGCCACAGCCGAGTCGGGATGGCGCCTGGCATGTTGCCGGAAGGAGTGGTTGAGAGGTGACACCAGCGAGCCATTAAGATGATGATAATTAAGTTAAGCTGTGTATAATTGCTGTGACTGGATGATGCTGGATTGAAACAGGCTGTGTATTCAGTTGTATATAGACCCTACTTTTGAGTTCTCAGGGAGCCCCATTGAGGGCAGGGAGTGCAAGTAGAGTTCTGGCTCGCTGGCAGGAAGCTAAGCCACTAGGATTAGATTAGGCAGGAGGATCGTGAGTTCAAAGCCAGCCTCAGCAGTTTAGCAAGGCTGAAAGCAACCTAGCAAGACCCTGCCTCAAAATAAAAAACAGAAAGGGCTGGGGGTGTTGCTCAGTGGTTAAGCACCCCCAGATTCAGTCCCTAGTATCACACACACAAAAAAAAAAGAAAAGAAAAAAAGCCTTCTGTGCCTGCGTGCCTGGTGGCAGTCCCAGAGGGCCACAAGGCCATGCCTGCGCAGGAAAGAAGGGAATGAAGTTTGCCATCCCTGGCTCCTGGTGTCTGCCTGCAATTCGGTTCTCCCTGGCTGCTTAGCCTGGGAACCTGGAGAGGTCAGCCTAGGGTCTTATCTTTTTTCTGTCTCTCTCAATTTTCCAGGTGACAGGTGATCCTGGAGCTGTGCTGTGGCTGGAGGAGATCCGCCAGGGAGTGGTCAGAGCCAACCAGGACACAAGCACAGCTCAGAGAAGTAAACGGGCTAAGCAGGGGCACTGGGAGGGCAGGGGAGGACACAGGGACTCAGCAGCATCCCAGATAAGCAGCCACCCAGCACCCCCACACCCCACCCCGCCTCTCCCTCCAGCCTCTGAGAGGAGGCAGAACAGGAGGCTTGCTGCCTGCACCACAGGGTGGATTTCCTGGCAAGCAGCGGGGCAGGAAATTCTTAGGAATGGACAGCCTAGCCCACCACTGCTTCCTGCTTTGCCCTCCTGTGGGCGCTTTCCCGGCAACATGAGCCTATGAGATCATGGGGTGGCCCAAAATCCACCCCATTTCTGCTAGTCGGTTGAGTTTGCTTCCAACAATGAGTTCTGGCTTGTCTAAAGAATGTTGAGTCCTGGGGAGGAGAAAGAAAGATTGGCCAGAGTTGGAGGGGAACGGGCAGGATGGGTGCAGGCAGACCCTGGTGTGCTGGGGGGTACTCAGGGGGCCCGTTTTCAGGGTCTGTGGGGCCTGGAGGGCAGGTGCACATTAGCCCTTCCCACTTCTGTACTCTCTTCTTCTAAGAAACTCTCCCAGAATTCCTTGCCCATATCCTGCCTTTGACCTTGGAATGAGCCAATTTTGCTTCCCCTGAGCGCCTGCCTGCCTGGCCCGCCTGCTTCCTCAGGAGCCTCCCGCACGGCCAGCTCCTCCTTCAAGCACAGCACCCGCTGCTGCTCCTCATGACTGTCTGTCCATCCTGGGATGTTCCCCATCTCCATTAGATGGGGTGACCTCGTGGCCTTCTATTTTTTTTTTTTTTTAATTTTTTTTAGTTATAGATGGACCTTTATTTTGTATTTATGTGGTGCTGAGGATCGAACCCAGTGCCTCACACCTGCCAGGCAAGCGCTCCACCACTGAGCCCCAGCCCCAGCCCCAGCCCCAGCCTTGTCCTTCTCTTTTGAGTCCTGCCCCACTGGGTAGGACAGGGCCCGTGGGAGGGACTTGGAGGGCAGGACTGACTGCTCTCTCCTGTGCCTGTCAGTGGCCCTCGGTGTGGCTGCCATCAACCAGGCCATCAAGGAGGGCAAGGCGGCCCAGACAGAGCGGGTGTTGCGGAACCCTGCCGTGGCCCTCCGAGGAGTGGTTCCTGACTGTGCCGATGGCTACCAGCGGGCCCTGGAGGGTGCCGTGGCCAAGAAGAGGCGTGCAGGTAATGGCCCCACTGGCCATCGCTTCTCTGCCTACCCCGGCCAACTCGTGCCTTCTCAAACCTTGTCTGCTTACTTGGCTCCTGCTCAGGGGACACAGCTTTCTGGGTTCAACATGACATGAGGGATGGCACCGCCTACTACTTCCACCTGAAGACCTTCCAGGGGACCTGGGAGAAACCCCTCAACGGCCACCTCCACACCTCCCACCTGAGTCGTGAAGAGATCCAGGTGGGCAGGGACCCTTCCAGGGCAAGGGGTCACGGATGGTGTTACCCTAAAGGAGAGGCTCCTACCCGTCAGAGGACCGTAGGCTTTCTCTCCTGCCTCCACAGTCGGCCATCACCAAAGTCACTGCTGCCCATGACCGCCAGCAGCTCTGGAAGGCCAACGTCGGCTTCATCGTCCAGCTGCAGGCCCGCCTCCGTGGCTTCCTGGTCCGCCAGAAGTTTGCTGAGCGTGCACACTTTCTGAGGACCTGGGTCCCAGCCGTCATCAAGATCCAGGTGATCTCCGGCTTTCTAAGTGGCCTGGGCCCAGGCTGACCTGAGCTGTAGGGTGTTCGCTCCCCTTCCTCCTGACCGCGGGGATTGGGAGGATCCTGGGCCTGTAGACAGTGGCAGTGGAGCACGGAGCCTGGAAGGGACAACTGAAGTTGGAAGCCAGCCCTGCCCCTGTTAACTGTGTGACCTTGAAAGTTACTCTCTCTGCCTGTTTGCTCCCAGAAAAATAAGAGATGATGGTAAGGTTGTTACAGGGTTCAGTGAGTGACGTTCAGTGTTTATAAGCAGTGCCTGCAAGCAGGCAGGAACATGGGGTGACCTGGTTAGTGGCCTCCTCGTCACTGTCCAGAGAACGGAAGGGGTGCTTTTTAGCCTCCCCAAAGGAAGAGTGAGGTAAGATTTAGTCAGACACCAGGGGGGTGTCCTCACGAGAAAAGGGGGTGTGAGGAGGTGAGAGGGCTGGACTGTGCCTGGGGACAGGGGAGCCTTCCGCCTTTCCCCTGCTCCAGCCAGCCCTTCGGGTTCGTCCACCCTCTGGTGGTCCAGTGTGGCCTCTGAGGCTGGCCCTCACGCACCTGCCAGCTGGGAGGATAGCCAGGGCACTGTGCAAGCCGGGAATAACGGGAGACCTTGCAGGCAGGGATATCTGGAGGACCACGTGGGAATGTTAGCTTGATCTATTTAGTGCCTCCGAAGGCCCCGCATCTGCAAAGCACGCCACACGGCACGCACGGGAGATGGGCTTGAGACCCCCAGTGAGTGGTCACATCTCTCCCCTCGCAGGAACTGCCGGCGACGTTAGATGTTGTGACAGTCAGGATACAAAGACAACAGCAGAAATACCAAGGGAGACACATGTGGGCCTGAGACTGGCAGATGGCCCTTGATTATGACCTCGGGCCTGCAGGGCAGGAACTCAGAGCTCAGGCTTTGAAGTCAGAGGCCAGAGTTTGCCTCCTTGACCTACCCTTCCAGGTCAAAGACGCCGTCTGTGCCCCTTACCTGCACCCTTCCGGCAGTCAGTTTTCTCGTTGATAATGACGGTACTCGCCTCCTCTGTTGATGGTGAGGAGTAAGTAGGAAATCACATGGAAGGCTTAGTGGCTCCATTAGTGGTTGCCGTTATGAGATGTTGCGATTAGGGCATTGGTCCCACAACTTAGTACAGAGCTTCTGGAATTTCAGGTAGTGCTCTGAATCATGGGGACTCCCCTCCTGAGCCGAGGCTAGGATTTCACACCTGGAGATGAGGAGCCACACGACAGTGGGAGAGGAGATGGGGATGGTGTGCGTGTTTGTGTGCAGGGGCATTTGTCTCTCATTCTAGAACTGTGGGGTCCTGGATCAGAGAGGTAGCTGAGACCCTCAGGCCACTTGCCCTCCAGCCTCAAAGATGAGACTGACTGGGCATGCTGAGATTTCAGTCTTTCCTGAAACCTCTGATCCAGCTGGAACCCCAACCAGGGTTCTGAATTCTGACTAGTCCAGATTAGGAAGCGTGTATCTTTTGGTCGTTTTTGGTCATTTTGTGGTGCTGGGAATCCAACTTGGGGCCTGGCTTATGTGAGGCAGATTCTCTGCTACTGAGCCATGCCCCAGCCCGGGAGGCAGATTATTAAAGAAGTGCTTTGTCGGGGCTGGGTAGGGACTGAGCAGAGAGAGAAACCCTCTGGTGCCAAGTATGGTGGCACACTCCTGAAATCCCAGCAACTTGGAAGGCCGAAGCAGGAAGGTTGCAAGTTCGAGGCCAGCCTTAGCAATTTAGTGAGACCCTGTCTCCAAGTTAAAAAAGAAAAAGGCTGGGTGCAGTGGTGCACACCTATAATCCCAACGATGCAGGAGAATGAGGCAGAGGATCACAAGTTCAAGACCAGCCTCAGCAACTTAGCAAGACCCTGTTTAAAATAAAAAATAAAAGGGGCTGGGGATGTAGCTCAGAGGTTAAGTGCCCCTGAATTCAATCTTTAGTACCAAAAAGAAAAAAATAAAAGGAAAGAGAGAAGAGCCCTCTGCCTTTCCCTACAGTGCTTTCCACTGGGTACATCAGCAGAGGCTGAAGTGGGAGGGGAGTACAGAGGGCAGGCATGGGTTTGCTGGCCTCTGGGCTCCAGCATGGACAGCTGGTGTATGGGCCAGGCTGCCTCTTTTTCATCCTAGCTTAACAGGGACTGAGTAGGCCTGAGGAAGGAACCTATCCAGGAGAAGTGGCTTTAGGCAGGATGGGGGACAACTGGGTGAAGCCACAGCAATGTCAGTGGTAGAGGACCACCTAGGCTTGCACACTGGGAAATGCTTGGCACTGGCCTAAAAGACAGGAAGAATTTCAGTGTGTAGAGGTAGAGCTGGGGCTGAGGGTGGGCACAAATAAAGGTTCAAGGCCAGAACCTCATAAGGCATGAAATGCCTGCTGCGGCCGGCATCCTTAAGATGGTCGAAGACCAGTGGAAAGTCAGATGGGGAGTGGGGCCAGAGGGTCGGGAACTTGTGTCCAAGTGCTATCCAAGTGGTACTTCAGAAAGGTTGATCTCATCCAAGCCTGGGGTGAGAGGAAGCGGTTCCTGGGAAAGACTGAAACAGGAGGGCTGTGAGGTTTGCATTTGAGAGAAGAGATGGGGTGTGGCTTGGGGAGGGGTTGGTCAGGTAGACCCTTTGCAGCAGACCAGCCCCGGAGAGGCCAACAGACTGACAGCTATTCAGGAACCTTGGCAGGAAGATCTGCTGAGAGCTGGGGTCAACTGTTGGATGGTGTCATTATAGAGAAAAGTGTGACTTATCAGAACAATAGGAACCTGCTGCCCAGGTGGCCACTGGCGGAGATGGACACACGGCTCTGTGCCTGTACGCGCTTCCCATCCGCAGCTGCATGTTGCTCCAGAATGTTCTCTACCCACTTTCTGTGCGTGTGAGGGAGGTGGAGTGTGTGATAGGGTGTGGGTGGTCTGCATATGGGTGTCTTGAGTGTATTTTGGGGGGATATGGTAGATGCTTTGGTGAAGTTGGTGAGTAGGTGTTTGCTCTATTAATATCTCTTAGGCCTGTTTCTTGCTTGAGTTTCCATGAGGGGGTGTTAGTGTGGAGGGGTGGTGTCTGTGTGTCTGCGTCTGTGTCCTCTGGGGCCAGGGAGTGTGCAGGAGACATGGTTGGCTACGGGTAACCATTCAGTCTTCCCCATAAAGTGGGAAGTTCTTTGATAACAGGACCAGTTTCTCTTCCTCCCTTTCTCCCCACCCTCTCAGCAAACCCTAGGACAGGCTATTCCTGCAGGTCTCTCGAGCCAGAGGACACCTGCTCTGGTTACCTCCTTTTCTCTCCTGCTCTGCAGGCTCACTGGCGGGGTTACAGACAGCGCAAAATTTACCTGGAACAGTTGCAGTATTTTAAAGCAAACCTGGATGCCATAATCAAGGTAGGTGTCGTGGCTTGGTGGGTTTCTGAATGTTGAGGGACGCTCTGAGAACGATTCTGTAGTCCTTTCACAACCCTGTGACCTCTGGAGTTGGCTGGGTTGGCCTGGTCTGTGATGGGTCTCTGGCCTTGTGCTCTGAGGCAGCGTCTCCTCCCAGATCCAGGCCTGGGCCCGGATGTGTGCAGCTCAGAGGCAATACCTGAGGCGCCTGCGCTACTTCCAGAAGAATGTGAGTGTCACCCTGGTCCCCTGGCCCCTGGTCCAACCTTTGCCCATGAGACCAGAGCAAGGACAGCCAGCCACCTTGTTGCCGTCTGTGTTCACGGCAGGTTGACTCCGTTGTGAAGATCCAGGCATTTTTCCGAGCCAGGAAAGCCCGGGATGACTACAGGATGTTGGGTGAGCTGCCTGGCCTACCCTTCCCCTCTTCATGGGGACATGAGACCCCAGAGCCAGGCAGGTCTAGGTGGTCCTTCTTGGGGTGCACAGCAGTTAGGGGACAGGCATTCACAAGTTGCCCGTGCGGGAGTGTGGAGCGGGGGTGGTGACCCAGTAGCAGCCCATTGCGGGCAAAGGGCCCCTCGCCAGGTCCTCTCTGCTTCCGGTGTATCTACCGCAGCAGACCAGAACGACGAGATTCCCCTCCTCCCTGGGCTCCCACCTTCTCCAACTCTGTCGCTTCCCTGGCCCGTGACTCTGCCACCTCACTTTGTGGCCCCCACACACGAGGCCTTGGCAAGGCGGGCAGTCTTTGTACCACGCAGGGGAACTTGGAAAGCACTGGAGGGGGCGCCATCTTCCTGCCCTTTATTTCCCAAGAACACCCTTCTCTGCTGCTCTTGGCCCCCGCCCTCAAATCCAGAAGCCTAGCCTTGAGGTGCCTTTCTTTTCTGTGGAATTGACTAGTGTCATCTCCGTGTTTACCTCTGGTCCCGCAGCCCCCTGCCTCTCTGGGCTGGAGGCTACGCACTCTTGGGCTTCAGGTTGAACGTGCCATCTCGAGTCCCCTCCCTCACTCCTCAGTCCTCCTTCCCCCTTCCTGCCCTTCAGGGGCCTCGGGCATCTCCAGGGCAGCCAGCTTCCTTCCCTGCCCACCTCTCCCAGCCTGGCTGTTGCGCTGACACAAGACCGTCCTTTATCTTTTCAGTTCTTGATTTTTCTAGAAAAATTTGTTCTTCCCGGTCTTGTTTCCCAACTTCTTCAGCCCCCAGACTCTGCCCAGAGCTCTGCCACTTGCTAGTTGTGTGGCTCGGGCAAGTTACCTAACCTCTTTATTGCCTCAGTTTCCTCCTTTACATGGTAGAGATGGTGACACCCATCTCGTAGGGTCATCAGTAAGATGGATGGTTATGGTGTCTGGACCACGTGGAGTGATTTTAAAACACTTAGAACAGCGTGGCGCACCCCTGTAATCCCAGCAACTCGGGAGGTTGAGGCAGGAGAATCATAAGTTCAAAGCCAGCCTCAGCAGTTTAGTGAGGCCCTAAGCAACTCAGTGAGACCCTGCCTCTAATAAAATATAAAGGGGTGGGGATGTTAAGGTCTGGCTCCATGGTTAAGCTCCCCTGGGTTCAATCCCCAGTACCCCTCCACCACCACCCCCCAAAAAAAAGAAAAGAAAAACCAAAGCCCTTATCATGACGTCCATCCTATAGTGAACGTTGTATGCATTGGTGGCTTGGCGGCTCAGAGGCTGCTGCTTCCTCTTCTTCCTCTTCTGTTGCTCTTCCTCTCCTCCCACCTTTTCTCTGTCTTTCTCTGTCCTCCCCGTATTATGGAACACGTCAACCGCCCCGTCTCTTGGGCTCCCCTGCATGCACAGACCCTCCCCACAAGAGCTCTGTGCCAGGCAGCGGGGCCAAGAGGAGGCTGGTCAGTGCGAGGAGAAGCAGTTGAACCCAGTAAGAGAGGGGGGTGGACGGGAGGAGGCCTCCAAGGAAACCCGGAGGGAGCTGGGCTCTGGCTGTGGTGTGTGGCAGGTCACCTACAGAGGGCAGGGAGCACATCAGGGCAGAACAGCTCCCTGTCCACCCCAACTGTAAGACAAGGAGCCCAGGGACAGGCCTGGCCGGGAGACAGAGCCAGTTGGAGCAGGTCTGAAGTTCAGGGCCTGTGGCCTCGAGCAGAGGTCAACAGAGGGGCCTGAGGGCGAGCTGACTGGAATGGAGAGAGGCTGGGGGAGGCCTCTGACCCCACACCTCCGCCCTCCGGCAGTGCACGCAGCCCACCCCCCCCTCGGTGTGGTGCGCAGGTTTGCCCACCTCCTCAACCAAAGCCAGCAGGACTTCTCAGCCGAGGCCGAGCTGCTGAAGCTGCAGGAAGAGGTGGTCAGAAAGATCCGCTCCAATCAGCAGCTGGAGCAGGACCTCAACCTCATGGACATCAAGATCGGCCTGCTGGTCAAGAACCGGATCACCCTACAGGTGAGGGGCCCTCAGCCACACCCCACCGCCAAATCCAGCTGCCTCTGGGGAGGGCACGTTGGCCAGTCCCTGGTTGCTGATGAAACCTTTTCAAAATGTGTGGATTTTTTCATTAAAGCCTGAGTCCTGTTCCAGTGGTCCTCTGGCCTTGCAGTGAGCCATTGGCTGGGGATGTGGGCAAGAACAGGGGAGGTGGAATTGGAATGTCCGGCTCTGCTGCCTGCTAGGGAAGAGCTGTGGGTGGTCATTTCACCTCTAAGCCTGTTTCCTGTTTAGGAAACTGAAATAATAAGAGTGTTTACCCGCCCCACCCTCAGGCCACATGTGAAGGTAAATATGGAAACTTCTTAAACTGTTAACGGATATACAAACATGCAGTGAGAAGATGGTAGTGACATTGTGATATTGCCCTCAAATTTGCATAACAGTCTAATACGAAGTAATAGCAAACTGGGCACAGTGGCACACACTTGTAATCCCAACCACTAGGGAAACTGAGGCAAGAGGATTGCAAGTTTGAGGCCAGCCCTGGGAAACTTTGGAGACACCCTGCCTCAAAATAAAAAAACAAAAAAGGGGGCCAGGTGCAGTGAGTGCACACCTGTAACCCCAGTGGCTCAGGAGGCTGAGGCAAGAGTATCACAAGTTCAAAGCCAGCCTCAGCAACGTACGTAGCAAGGCCCCAAGCAACTTAGTGAGACCCTGTTTCAAAATAAAAGATAAAAAATATAAAGGGCTGGGGATGTGACTCAGTGGTTAACAGCCCTGGCTTCAATCCCCAGTACCAAATCAACAATAATAATAGTAATTAAAAATAAATAAATAGGCTGGCCTGGGGCTCAGTGGTGGAGCCCTTGCCTAGCATGTGGGAGGCACTGGGTTTGATTCTCAGCACTGCATATAAATAAATTTTTAAAATGACCATCGACAACTAAAAAAAAATTAATTAATTGACTTAAGGTATTGTGTCCATCTACAACTAAAAAAAAATTAATAAATAAATATACATAAATATATATAAATAAGGGCTGGGAATGTAGCTCAGTGGTAAAGTGTCCCTGGGTTCAATCCCCAGACTTGAAGGGGGGGGAAAAAAAGAAAGAGAGAAAGAATCACAAAACACAAGTAGACACAATGCCTCCAGCCTGGCAGCCGGGTCCTCTTTGGGGACTCACTCCTGTGAAAGCAGAGGTGCCAGATGGAGTCTGGGCAGTAGGAGGGGCCCTCCCTCGCCCCAGAACCGCTGCTCTTTCCTGGCTCATGCCTGTTCCCTGAACAGCAGAGAGCCCTGGCCCGTCCAGGCGCTGATTCTAGACCATATGTTCCTTGTGCCGTGCTGGCCTGGGCTGGTCGTATTGCCTGCTCTCCTGCGCCTGCAGGAAGTGGTCTCCCACTGCAAGAAGCTGACCAAGAAGAATAAGGAGCAGCTGTCAGATATGATGGTTCTGGACAAGCAGAAGGGATTAAAGTCGCTGAGCAAAGAGAAACGGCAGAAACTAGAAGCTTACCAGCACCTCTTCTACCTGCTCCAGGTGAGCAGAGGACTTTGGAAGGAGAAGTCTCTACCACCCCCTCAGGGCCCAAGACCTTTTCTGTGTCTTTTCCCCCTTGCAAGGTATCCTTTCCCATAATCCTAATGCCCTGTCCCTGGGGGAGAGACTGTCTGCTTCCTAAGAAGGTGAGACTACTTTCTCCAATCTGGGTGCCATTATCAGCCCTTCCTGTTTCCCCAACTGTTTGTAGACTCAACCCATCTACCTGGCCAAGCTGATCTTTCAGATGCCACAGAATAGGACCACCAAGTTCATGGAGGCAGTGATTTTCAGCTTGTACAATTACGCCTCCAACCGCCGGGAGGCCTACCTGCTGCTCCAGCTGTTCAAGACTGCGCTGCAGGAGGAAATCAAGTGGGTTCTCCAGATGCAGAGGAGGGGAAAGGGTGGGCTCAGAGGTGATGCCCCTGGGACTCCCTCACAAGGTGACGGCTCCACTGGGCATGGTGGCGCACACCTGTAATCGCAGTATCTGGGAGGCTGAGGTAGGAGGATCATGAGTTCAAAGCCAGCCTCAGTAATTTAGTGAAGCCCTAAGCAACTCAAGGAGACCCTGTCTCTAAGTAAAATATAAAACAGGGCTGGGGATGTGGCTTGAGAGTCCCTGGGTTCAATCCTGGTACCAAAAAACCACACAAGATGATGGCTTGTTGAGGTGCAGGGTAGATTGGCAGCAGAAGCCCAGTCTTCTCTGCCTCCGTGGAAGGACTGTAGGGCATTTCCGGGTAGCACAGTGGGCGGACATGGGCTGACATATTAGCAAAAAGGATGAAACCGAGATAGCGGGACATTTCTTAAGATAAAGACACTATCTGGGCATGGTGGTGCATGCCTGTAATCCCAGTGACTCAAGAGGCCGAGGCAGGAGGATTGCAAGTTTGAGCAACTTAGTGAGACCCTATCTGGAAATAAAAAATAAAAAGGATGCAGGTTGGTGGTAAAACACCCCTGGGTTCAATCCCCAGCACCAAAAAAAAAAAAAAAAAAAAGGGACACCAGAGCAGGCTTCCAAGAACCAAAATCCCAAAAAGGAAAAGCAACTATCTGTCCTACACAGAGTCGGAGACCAGCTGCACTGATCTTTTGAACCACAGGTCAAAGGTGGAACGGCCCCAGGACATAGTGACAGGCAACCCCACGGTGGTGAGGCTGGTGGTGAGATTCTACCGAAATGAGCGGGGACAGAGCGCCCTGCGGGAGATCCTGGGCAAGGTTATCCAGGATGTGCTGGAGGACAAAGTGCTTAGCATCCACACAGACCCCGTCCACATTTACAAGAGCTGGATCAACCAGACTGAGGCCCAGACGGGGCAGCGCAGGTGAGCAGATGGGCAGAGGAGAGCTCTCTCTGATCAGCTTCAGCTGGACCTCACTGGGGAAGCCTGGGTGTGTTTGAAGGTGACATACGGATGAGCATGCTGATTCATGCAAATATGACACCACCCCATAGGAGTAAATGAGGTAGCCTTTCAGACCCGCTCTGGTGATTGACACCGGTGGGCTCAACATAAAGTGGGCACACATGACTATGCTAGTGTGCCTAATAGCTGTGGGAGTTAGGATGTAGACTTCTTATTGATAGGGGTTCATATGAATATTCAGATTTACAGATAAATAAGCAAATGAGAACATGGAAGTAATAGGTTATCCTTGTAGGTTGGGGGGCATTGCTCAATTTCACAGGTGCTAGGGAAATGGGTCCAGTGAGGAGATCTGGCAATCCCAACGGCTGCTCTGGATGGCATAGGAGGCTATAAGTAAGGGAAATACAAGTCCCCAACTTTCCCTGTTGTCTGAAGTGCCAAAGACTATTTGATGGGGCCGGGTACAATGGCGCACACCTGTCATCCCAGCAACTTGGGAGGCTGAGGCAGGAGGATCACAAGTTCAAGGCTAGCCTTAGCAACTTAGCAAGACCCTGTCTCAAAATAAAAAATAAAAAGGGCTGGGGATGTAGCTCAGTGGTAAAGTGCCCCTGACTTTAATCCCAAGTTCCATACACACACAGACACACCTCGATGGGCAGTCTCCTTATTTCCTCTGGTTCCCTTTAGGAGTCTTGACATAAATTCTAGGTTCTCCATTCCTTCCCACACTCTCCAGCCTCCCGTGGGTACGCTAACTCTTCCTCCCCTGCCACACAGTTCTGTAAACCTCCCTGAGTCCTTAGCAAGTCAGTGTGAAACCCTGGTGTGGGGAGAGAGGCAGCAGGAAGGTGCTCCGGCTTTACCTGGTCTCTCTGCCCACAGCCGTCTCCCCTATGACGTCACCCCCGAGCAGGCCTTGAGCCACCCCGAGGTCCAGAGAAGGCTGGACATCTCCCTGCGCAACCTCCTTGCCGTGACTGACAAGTTCCTCGTGGCCATCGTTTCTTCTGTGGACCAAATTCCGTAAGTAGGACTGCTGTGCCACAGGCTGGGCACTGGATCCCAGGGCAGCCATCAGGGGAGGGCAGAACTGGATGACAGCCCGAGGGAGGAAGCCAGAGAGGGGAGTGAGGCTGGAGGTGCCCGAGTGGGCTGGGAGCCACTGCCAGGGTGGAATTCAGCAGCGGGTCTGTCCCATTGGAGGTCACGGGAGCCAGAGCAGGGAACCTGAGATGATGATGGGGACATTACTGTCTGAGCAAATGGGGATCAAATGGAACTCTTTGATCCACAAAGTCAAACAGAAGAAATACTTCTAAACAGTAAAGCACCTTATAGTTTTTCCCTTCTTAAAATTTAGTCAATAAAAGCTTTTGAAAGTCGTCTGACTAGAGCTGAGTATGGTGTTGCACATTTGTAATCCTAGCCGCTTGGGAGGCTGAGGCAGGAGGATCTTGAGTTCAGAGCCAGCCTCAGCAACTGAGCAAGGCCCTAAGCAACTCAACAAGACCCTGTCTCTAAAAATATATATAAAGAATGGGTAGGGTTGTTGCCCCTGGGTTCAATCCCCAGTACCAAAAAATTTTAAAAAATTAAATTAAATTAAAATAAGCTAGAAAGGACAAGAGTGGTCATTGCCACTTTCCAGACCAGAGAACACACCCTCAGAGGGAAAGGAAAGAGCCTGAAGTCTCCGGCTGGTGAGCAGTCGGACTGGAGTGTCCACTCCCGTTCATTGACCTCCTTGGGCAGGCCCTGCCCCGGCCCAGACAGGCCCCTCACAGCTCCTAAGATCCCTGACAAGATCGGCTGCCTCTGGGGCTGGGCCGTGGCTCAGTGGTAGAGCACTCGCCTAGCACGCGTGAGGCACTGGGTTCGATTCTCAGCACCGCGTATAAATAAATGAATAAAATAAAGGTCCGTCAACAACTAAAAAAAAATATATATTTTAAAAAATAGAGCCTCCTGGGTTGTCTTGGGACAGTGTTGTGTCTATGAATGCCAGATACCCGAGGGGTAGGTCAAAGCCTCCCTGGGGAAGGCAGGGGATAGGTGACCTGGGTATTCTGGGAGGAGCCGGGAGTCTCAAAGAAGAGACTCTCCAGCCGTGTTGGAGGCAGCGGGAGAGCTTTAGGAGATGACCAGGCCCTGTCTCTGACAAGGCTCAGAGGTGTTGGAGGATGGCCGCAGGGGCCTGCCTATGGAAGTGGAGGGGCGGGGACTGGGCTCAGCTTTGGTGAGGCTGGGAAGGCAGAAGCGGCCAGACAGCCAGGCCACGCTGGGACCTCCTGCTTTTCCCCAGCTACGGGATGCGGTATGTGGCCAAAGTTCTGAAGACAACCCTGGCGGAGAAGTTCCCCGATGCCACAGAGACTGAGGTCTATAAGGCAAGTGTCGTCCCCCCTCCCCTCCTGAGCCCTGCTGGCGCCGTACTCCCCAGACAGGCAAAGGGACAGAGAACCCTGTGCTGTAAAATCTAAGGAGGAAATATGCTCCCCCCTGTGAACCGAGCCTCACCCATCAGCAGGGCTTCCCACGACAGAAAGGAACCCAGAAAGGAACCCGGGCCTGGGTGGCTTCTTGGGAGACGTGGGTTCTAGACGCGCCTCCTGCTCAAGTTTGATGCATGACCTTGAGCAAATTGCCCACCTGCTCTGGGTCTGGTTTCTTCTCTGCCGAGTAAGGGTTTGGCCCAAGTGGTCCCTTCTAGCTACGAGGGCTGGGAATATAGAGGTGTAGCTGTGAGGGTGGCCTCTGGGCGTTTCTGGGAAAGTGTCCTCTGCCCTTAGGTGGTGGGGAACCTGCTGTACTACCGCTTCCTGAACCCCGCTGTGGTGGCTCCTGACGCTTTTGACATCGTGGCCCTGGCAGCGGGCGGTGCCCTGGCCGCCCCCCAGCGCCATGCGCTGGGGGCCATAGCCCAGCTCCTGCAGCACGCGGCGGCTGGCAAGGCCTTCTCTGGGGAGAGCCGGCACCTGCAGGTGCTGAATGACTACCTGGAGGAGACACACCTCAAGTTCAGGTCTGGGCCTGGCATCCCATTGCTCTCTGTCCTTTCTCTCCATTCCCACGGTCCGTGGCCCACTTCTCCCCTGTGGAGAGCGGGCAGGGGCCAGGCGGGGGGAGGACTGCCCAGGGGAGAGGGGAGGGCTATATTAGAAGAGGTTGGTTTGAGTGGGACACTGGGACAGAGCCAGGGCAGGAGCTGAGACTGGAGAGTCAGAAGTGGTCCCAGCAGTCGCTAGAGAGGGTCAGGGAAGGAATGACGGGGACAGAACACGGTGGGGATGCCAGCCCTCCCCATCTCACTTGCCCTTTCTCTGGGGACAGGAAGTTCATCTGCAGAGCCTGCCAGGTGCCAGAGCCAGAGGAGCGCTTTGCGATGGATGAGTACTCAGACATGGTGGCCGTGGCCAAGCCCATGGTGTACATCACAGTCGGGGAGCTGGTCAACACGCACAGGGTGAGGGGCCGGGACTGAAGGACACCGGTAGGTGGGGAGGGGTTGGAAGCCCACGGTGGGCAGGCTGGTCCCAGAAGGAAGGCCTTGCTGGGTCCCTGCAGCTTCTGTCCTTCCTCTGCCGCAGCTGCTGCTGGAGCACCAGGACTGGGTCGCTCCTGACCACCAGGACCCCCTGCACCAGCTCCTAGAGGACCTTGGGGAGCTGCCCACCATCCCTGACCTCATCGGTGCGTGCCCCCCTTGGCAGCTGGGACCTACCAAGAAGGAGGGACAGGAAGGGGCAGTGGGAGGGCACGTGGGCATGTCTGCTCAGCCTGGGGTGCGTGCCAGCAGCTGGTGATGTCTCCCTCCCTCGCCTCCCTGTCCTGAGGTGGACACAGGCCTGCAGACTGACCTGGAGAGAGTGGACAGATCCTAGAGGGACCCACTCCCATTATGTCGATGGCCAGTTCAGTCATGTGCAAGAGACGTGGAGGGACAGGGCCTCTCTGTGGGTCTCAGAAGATTTCTCTGATAAGGAGGAATTTCAGGCTGAGGAGTGAGAGGAGGACATTTCCAAGGGTAGAGGACGGAACGAAGGGGTTGGGGGAGAGCAGGGGCACCAGGCTGTGGGGGGGACGGCCCAGCCCCTGCTCTGGCCCCCAGGGCTGAGGTGTGGGGAGCATCACCAGCAATGCAAGGTCCTTCCGTGGCGCTCAGGTCGAGGGTATCGTGTGGAACCATGGGGCAGCCCGGGAAGGGCTCCTGGGAGAGGGTGTGGGGAGCCCGGTGCTGGGACCCCATCTGAGCACTGTCCCTCTTGATCCTCAATCCACCCAGGGGAGAACATAGCTGCAGATGGGCACGTGGATCTGAGCAAGCTCGAAGTGTCCCTGACACTCGCCAACAAATTCGAAGGGCTTGAGGCAGAGGCTGACGACACCAAAGCCCAGAGCCTGCTTCTAAGGTGGGTGTGGTGGCCCCTGCCCCCCCTGAGACCCTCCCTGGCCTTGCGCCCCATACTGTGGTTCCACTTTCCTGTTGGCCCCTTAGCCTGTAGGAGATGCTCCCTGAAGCTCAGCTTGAACTTCCCTTGCTTCCGTCTCAGCCCTCTGCCACCTTAACTTCGTGCTCGGGTTATAGCTGAAGAAAAGGACAGTTCAGAAATGGGCGACAGCCAAGCCTGTCACCCCAGCTGCTCGGGAGGCTGAGGCAGGAGGATCTTAAGTCCAAGTTCAGCCTGAATAACTTACCAAGCTCTTGTCTCAAAAAGAAAATTAAAAGAGAAAGAAAAGAAAATATAATAAATCAGTCCTTGGTAGAGCGCCTGCTAGTTTACACGAGGCCCTGGGTTTGATCTCCAGCACCACACACACAAAAAAAGGGAAAAAGAAAGGTTTAAGCAAATCCTATAAATTTAAATAAGACATTGCCTTAGTTGGGAAAGGTGGAGCATGCCCGTAATCATAGTGGCCTGGAGGATCACAAGTTCAAAGCCAGCCTCAGAACTTAGTGAGGCTCTACGCAACTTAGGGAGACTCTGTCTCAAAGTAAAAAATAAAAAGGGCTGGAGATGTGGCTCAGTGTTAAGCACCCTTGGGTTCAATCTCTGATACAAAAAAAAAAAAAAAGACCATGACTTAAAATAAAGAAAGGGTTGGGGAAATAGAATGCCCCTAGGTTCAATCTCCAGTACCCGCCCCCCCCCCCCCAAAAAAAAAAAAAGATAGCACAACCTTTGAACTCTGCTTGTTGTCCATATCTATACAATTTTTGTAATAAGAAAATTTTTTGTGTGTGGTACTGGGGATTAAATCCAGGGATACTCTACCACTTAGCTACATCCCCAGCCCTTTTTATTTTGAGTCAGGGTCTCACTAAGTTGCTGAGGCTGGCCTTGAACTTGTGATTTGCCTGCCTTAGCCTCCTGAGTTGCTGGGATTGCAGGCAGGCCCCGCCGTGCCCAGCCAAATTCTTTTTAATGTCAGCGTTTAGGACAAGCTATGGGTGGTGGTTTCCCTCTTCATAGCTAAGGCAAGGAACTCAGTAGGTAGGAGTCTCCTCCAAAGTCCCACAGGCCGTGGGTGAGGGAGCTCACGTTCTCATTCCCATTCCTGTGATAATAAGGACGGGGCGTGGGGCTTTTCTTCTTCACCCCACTTCTGCAAGAGTAAGGCAGGACCCCAGCAGGACTGGGCCGGTTACCTGGGCAGAAGAGGAGCCAGGCAACCAGATAGTCTCCTGGCCAACGAGGCAGCCGCTTCCATTCACTTATTTGCTCAGTAAACGAGCCAGCAAGGCCTGTGCTTGGTCCTCATCAGAGCGCATCGTAGGGTGGGCTGGGGAGAACACAGCCACCAGGAGAAGGGGGTTCCAGGTACTCTGAGAGCGCTGCAGAAAGGACACCAGGGCTGCGAGGAGGACGTGTCCCTCAGCCGAAGGACTCTGAGGGAGAGGTGCCCTTGGCCACACCCCTCTCCCCCCACCCCCAGCCCTCACTCTCTCCTTACCCCCGAGGGCCCCAGGCAGCCATGATATGGGGCACGGTACGCCCACCCTCTGGTTTCTGCCACTCGTGTCCAGACCCTGTCCTGCCTCTCCACTCCCTTCCACCACTCCTTCCCTCCACAGCACCAAGCAGATGTTGGCCGATATCATACAGTTCCACCCTGGGGACTCCCTCAAAGAGATCCTGTCCCTCTCGGCTACCGGAGAGCAGGTGAGTGGCCAGGTGACCAGGCCAGCCCACCCACAGCTTCTGCCTCATTCACCCACCTCACTCCCTCTGCGCTGCTGGTTCGAATGGCTGGCTAAAACAGGTGCCCGGCCTGCCCGTGACGAGGGCTCCGAGGGCCAAGCATCTGCCCTCCACCCTGAGCAGGCTGAGGAGCCGCCTTGCCTCAGGGTGCCTCAGGTTTCGGGGTGGTGGAGGCCATGTCCCTCCCACTCCCCCCGCTGAAATGAGCTTTCCTGTGGGGGTCTGCTGTGCTGGGGCTGCAGGGGGCATTCCAAGAGGTACTTGGAAGAGTGCAGAAGGGTTTCGCTCCCCAAATGACGGCTGCAGGCAGGAGAAGGTGGGAAGTGGGTGGGGGCTGGGACCAGCTGGAGTAAAGACGAAGCCGGGCTCCCCAGACGAAAGGGGGTGATGGCAGTAGAGGCAGGTCCTCAAGTAGAGCAGGGAGGGAGGTGCCCCCACACCCTGAGCAGCACAGAGCTCCATGGTTGGGAAGTCACAGCCATGTCTATCCAGATGTTTTATGCTGCAGCCTCTGTCTGGTTCTCCTGGGGGCCCCTCCGTCCTGTGGCAGTCCCCGAGGTCTGTCCGTGTGTCACACCAAGTGTCAGGATGTCACACCCTGATGTTTTCCTGCTAGGCCCTTTTCCACCACTGTTCCCCCCAGAAGCTAGGCTCTGGGGGTGCTTTCCCTGGGTTGCTGGGGTCCCCGGCCTGTCCTAGTGTGGGGGAAGAATGGCGCCCCATCCAGCATCTCTGCCCCTAGGAAGCAGCCCACAAGCGTCTCATGTGCCGGCGCCAGGCCTGTGAAGCCCAGACCCCCGAGGCTCTGCGTCGACACCGCTCCTTCACGGCTCACTCCCTCCTGCCCCTGGCAGAGAAGCAGCGGCGTGTCCTGCGGAATCTGCGTAGACTAGAGGGCCTGGGGCTGGTCAGTGCCGGCGATGGCTATCAGGGACTGGTGGATGAGCTGGCAAAGGTAATGACCTGGGTCTGAGTTCTGGGTATCTGCACGCAGGCACCTGTGTATGTGCGTGCGAATGCTTGCACACACCTGTACCAGGTACCTGCACACCAACATGAGGGGTCCATGGGCAGGCCTGTCCCTGGTGAATGCTACCCAAAATTGTCACCTGCCAGAGGAAGGACAGGGTTCTTTTCAAAGAAAACGTCCTAGATTTAGCCAGGGAAGGGGATGTTCTTACAGTTCTTTTGCTAAAAAATGAGGGGCCTAGAAACCAGAGTCGCGAATGCCTTAAGGGCCTGGGATGGCATCCTCGAGATTGTCCTCCTAGGAAAAACAGCTGGAAATCTGCCTCTTCCTGCTCTTCCTAACATCCTCCCAGTGAGTGTTTCACAGCCTGTGTCAGGCCCCAGGGCTGTCCAGCCAGGAAGGGCCAGCTGACCCCCTCCCTCGGTCCCAAACTCCAGGACATCCGCAACCAGCGCAGGCACCGGCAGCGGCGGAAGGCAGAGCTGGTGAAGCTTCGGGCCACGTTCCAGGCCCTGAGCACGAAGACGGCCTTCTATGAGGAGCAGGGCGACTACTACAGCCAGTACATCCGGGCCTGCCTGGACCACCTGGCCCCCAGCAACAAGTAGGTGCTGCCGTCCTGCACTTGGAAGTTACCTGTGACCGCTACCCTGCCCACGCCCCCCTCTGCCCCTGTCTCCCGGTTTGGAGCTGGGAATCTCAGCACAGCAGCCCCCTCCTTTGTCTCCCACCCTGAGTGAGGCACCTTCCTCGGGCCTCGTTTCCTTCCTGCATCCCGGGGAACAAGGGTCCGTGGTGCTGGAGAGCTTGTTGGATGAGTTCTTTGGGTCCTTCTTTTCATCAGGAGCTCCAGGAAGGGGAAGAAGCAGCCGTCTCTTCATTACACTGCTGCCCAGCTCCTGGAGAAGGGCGTCCTGGTGGAAATCGAAGATCTCCCCACCTCTCAGTATGTGTGTTTGGAAGGCAGGATGTCAGCCCTTCCTGTCCCTTGTTGGGGACGGCTCTGGTCAGGGCACAGGGTAGCAGGGAAGGAGGAGCGTGGTCCCTGCCTTGAAGGAGCCACTCGCATGACGGTGCAGGCAGGGCACCCCAGAGAGTCAAGGACCTTGACATGGTGCAGGACGGTTCTGGATGGACTCGGGGTGCTGGGAGTGGTTCCAGAAGTGAGGCCACCAGGCAGGATCAGCAGGACAGATACCCTGTGAGCAGATGCAGACCTGGGAGAAGACAGAGCTGCCCCCAGCCCACCCGGCCCCTGCTCCCCCCTCCCCCCACTCCACCCACCCAGGGAGACAGACGGGAAGACTGGGCTCTGGATGTCGCACACTGTCACCCAGGAAGAGAAGCAGCAAGAGCCAGGTTGTAGCTCTGGAAAGAGGCCATGGGTCCCTGTTTTGAATTCTGTTCCCGACAGCTTCAGAAATGTCATCTTTGACATCACCCCTGGCGATGAGGCAGGAATGTTTGAAGTCAACGCCAAGTTCCTAGGTGTGGACATGGAACGATTCCAGCTTCACTATCAGGTGAGGGGACACTCCATGACCCTCAGGACACCCAGTGGTGGGCTTTAGGTGCTGGCCTCAAGAGGATGGCCCCCCGACTTCCCTAGGCCTCATGACTTCAGCTTGGCCCTCCACCCGATCAGCGGGAGGTCCACTGCCCTGACACAGACCCCAGCACTACCCACCGGGGACAGTGGAGTGGCTGGTGGTGTCAGAAGCAGGTTTAGTGTCGGAAGCCCTATCACGTGTACCTCATTTAGTCCCCTCCGCTGCTCTGAGGCGTCATCCCTGGTTTACAGTCCCTGGGGCTCAAAGGTCAAGAAGCCAGCCTAAGTCAGAGCCGGTGTTCAGGGAAACGGGTTTTAAATCCAGATCTTTGTGCTCTGCCATTTTGCCTTTTGAGTGAAAAGACTGATTTCAAGCCCCCACTCTGCCGCGTTGCTGCTTTGCCCAGTGACCGCACCCCTCTCGGCCTTGGTCGCCTTGTTTGTGAAGTGGGTTTTCAGGGCCCTGTCTCAGTGGCATTCAGCCAGTGCCACCTGTGGCGAGGGAAGGCTCCCACAGTTGGCAGTTGGAGGCTGCCTGGGCCGCAGCCAGAAGCCCTTAGCTGCCCTGCCCTGCCCGCTGCTTCCCAGGACCTCCTGCAGCTCCAGTATGAGGGCGTGGCTGTCATGAAGCTCTTCAACAAGGCCAAGGTCAATGTCAACCTTCTCATCTTCCTCCTCAACAAGAAGTTCCTGCGGAAGTGATGGAGGCAGTGGTGCCACGCCAGACGCCCTCTCCTTGCTGGACGTCCTTCCTCGACACTAACCTGCTACGGTCCCCGCAGACATGCCCAGAGTCAGGACCGGGCAAGGCTCAGGGACTCTCCCCCTAGTCCCGTTGCCAGAGTCCGCCTCCCTGGCCACACAGTATTGCTTCTTATGGCGTAAGTGGGCCTGGCCTCTGGGTCTGGCTGCGTGGCTCTTACCACACAGGACCAACCCGTGACCCAGCCAGCAGGGGATGAACCTAGGGCTTCCATCTTTCCTAGGAAGGCTGCTGCTCTTGGGTCTGCCACTGCCTCCCAGGGTCACCCCAATATTACAAGCACTGCCCCAGCAGCCTGATTTCCCCTCTCCCTACCTTCTCTCTGCAGACCCTCAAAGCCTGGGCCGGGCTCCATACCCTGCCTCCCACTCCATCATCAGGGGGTGGTCCTGCCCTAGCCTGGCCACGCTGCGGCTCAACACCACAGCACACGTTCCGACCCCTCGCCCACACCCCCGCAGGGACCAGGGAATGCAGTGTTTATGGGTGCCCATGTGGCATCGTTGTCCTCTGGGGCAGGATGGACAAGGTGGCCTTCCATGACCCTCAAGCCTCGCTGTGCTTATGGTCTGTTTACATGTGGGTCCCTGGGGTATTTATTTTCTCTCCCATCCTTCTGCTCCAAGCCAGTGTACAGCCTTAATCACGATTTTAATTCTTTCATCTTCTTGAGCTCAAAGAAAGACTTCTCATTTGCCCTGTTCAAACCAATATCCATGCTGGTCTTTCCACCTGGTGTTGCAGTCACCTTGGGTCAGGGCAGTAGGGTTCCTGCTGGTGTTTAAAATCTCGTTATCTCAGCTTCCTTCGGTACAAAGAGCCGTCTCACTTTTCCCTCCCACCCTCAGGACTCTTAGGCCTTACAGCTGTCTCCTCAGGTTCTACAGATCTGCAGGCTCACTCTGCCACTCTCTGTCCACCCCACCTCTCCCAACTTCCTGTCCCTGTTGCCCTTCTGATTTCTTCTTAATAAAAGCAGCTGTCAGCCTCACATCTGTTGTTAACCCCTGATTTCATTTCCTGCAGAGTAGGCCTCAAGTTCTGGGCTCCGCTCCCCCAGCCCCCTGCCTGCCTCGGGTGTGGACCCCCTCTGCCTGCCTGAGCTCGCAAAGGCTTAATGAGATGTGGCACTTGTCCCTCTCTTCCCTCCCCCCGGGGACAAAGAAGAGGAAGGAATGCTTAGGTTTCGATTCTGTGTTTTTGGCCACTCAGAAGACTAAAGCTCGGAGAAGAAACCGGCCCAGGCTCTTCCCACACACTGTGCCCACAGTTCCAGCAGGTCCCTTTCCCGGGCCTTGAGTGACAATACCAAAGGTGCCTGAGCCACACTCTTTGGGTACTGCAGGTCCTATGCTATGACCAAGATCCCCTTTCTGCTGTCTCCCCTGCATTCGGGAAGCGAGGAGGGGCCCACACACACACACACACACACACACACACACACGACACCTGCCCTGACATCTGAACTCCCCACAGCCCCTATTGGGCACCCACGCTTGCCTGGCGCAGCCTGCCTCTCTCCACTTTATTCCGTTCTGTCACTCAGGATCTGTCTTGCTGTCACATTCAATCTCAGTCACAGCCTCTCCCCCCCTTAACATGTCACAGCAAAGATTTCAAGTACTGCCTTGCTCTGGGTGACAGTGACACATACCAGTGGAGCCTAGCTTCTACACGTGCTCAGTCATCATTAAAAATCTCACACTCACCAAATGGCTCCAACACCACCCCCACGGTGATGCCCCCCACAGTCACAGGAGCTCAGCCACATATACCACATATAGAAATGTCACAAGAGCTACTGCTATCGAGGGCCTGTCATGGGCTGGGCTATTTATGTGTATTTCCTACTCAGAACAACCCTACAAAAGTAAGCAGTCACCATCTCCGTGCAACAGAGGATGAGACTGAGGTTCAGAGGGCTGGAGAGCTAATTGCCTGTGGCTGCTTAGCTGGTAAGGAGCAGGACAGGTTGTAAGCTCAGGCCCTTCTGCTCAGAGTTCAGATTCCCCCACTTTTTTCCCTTCTCTGAGGAACATTTTCGTCGTCTTCAACCCACCCTCTCTGCCACCCTGTGTGTGTGTACAAGGAACAGGGGATTGACCGCAGGACCTTGTACTTGCTAGGTAAGTGCTTGAACACTGAGCTACCCCCAGCCCTTTTTAAAATTTTATTTTGGCACAGGGTTTCACCAAGTTGCTGAGACTGGTCTCCATCTTTTGATCATCCTGCCTCAGGCTCCTGAGTAGCTGGGATCTCAGGTGTGCGCCACCACCCCCTGCTGATGACACTTTCTCTCTAGCCCACCCCACGCTGTTCCACCCTGGGGATGGTCCCCGTATGCTCATCAGGTTCATCAATATTCTTGCTGACCTTTCATGGCCAGAAACGCAGGCTCCTTTAGGTGAGAATATACACCCAGACAACCTCTTTGGAGGACAATTTGGCAATATCAAAAATATAAGTGCAAAGTGCTGATACGGTTCCATGGGGAAAGAGTAGTCTCCAACAAATGGCGCTGGGAGAACTGGAGAGCCACACAGAGTATAAGGTTGGAGGCCTACCTCACGCCACATACAAAAATTGACTCAGAACAATCAGCGAACTAAATGTAAGAGCTAAAACTATAAGACTCCTTGAAGAGAGCATAATTATAAATTTTCCTGACTTTGAGTTAGATGATGGTTTCTTAGCTAGAACACTAAAAGCACAAGTGATAAAAGACAAAAAATTAATTGGTTTCATTAATGTTAAAAGCTGGTGATACAAAGGACACCTTCAGGATAAGAAAAGGACTCTGAATAGGAGAAAGTATTTGCAAGTCACATGTCTGATAACAGACTCACATCTACAAAACATAAAGAACTTTCACAACTCAATAAAAAGACAACCCAAGGACTGGGGTTGTGGCTCAGTGGTAGAGCGCTAGCCTCGAATATGTGAGGCACTGGGTTCGATTCTTAGCACCGCATATAAATAAAAAATAAAGGTCCATCAACAACTAAAATAAATAAAATTTTTAGGAGCTGGGGATGTGGCTCAAGCAGTAGCATGCTCGCCTGGCATGCATGCGGCCCGGGTTCGATCCTCAGCACCACATACCAACAAAGATGTTGTGTCCGCCGAGAACTAAAAAATAAATATTAAAAAAAAATAAAATAAAAATTAAAAAAATAAAATTTTTAAAAAAGACAACCCAAGCCAGGCGTGGTGGTAGACTCCTTCAATCCTAGTGATTTGGGAGGCTTAGACAGGAGGATTATGAATTTGAGACCAGCCTCAGCAATTTAGCAAGGCCCTAAGCAACTTAGCAAGAAACTGTCTCAAAACAACTAGGGATGTGATACAAAAAAGAAAAACAGAAATAGGCGAAGGATTTGAATAGACATTTCTCCAAAGAAGGTATACAATGACCAATGAGCACATGAAAAGATGCCCAACAATGTCACTAGGGAAATGCAAATCAAAATCACTATGAAATACCACTTCACCTCTGCTAGGGTGGCTAAAATAAACAGACAAGAATGAATCTTGGTGAGGATGTGGAGAAATTACAACGCTCTTACGTTGTGAGCTGGGCGAGCCCTAACTGATAAATAATTTGGCAATTTCTTCAAATATTAAATAGTTACCATAAGACCCAGCAATTCCACTCCTATATGTACCCAGGAAAATTAAAAGTATATGTCCACACAAGAATCTGCACACAGATGTTCATGGCAGAGTTAGGCATGGTTATGTCTCAAAAAATAAATTGTCAGGATGAACCCAACTACTACATACAACTATAGAGTTCCAATAAAATAAATAAGTAAAAAGGTTGGGGATGTAGCTCAGTGGCAAAACACCCCTGGGTCAATTTCCATTCCAAAGGAAAAAAAATGTGGGTGCACAATTCAAGAATATAGTAAAAGCCACTCAACCATATTCTTTTAAAAGCTCAATGTTATGGTATAGGAATTATATTTCCATAAAGCTTTCTTTGTGTGGTGCTGGGTTATCGAACCAAGGGCCTCACATCTGCTAGGCTAGCACTCTGCCGCTGACCTGCATCCTCGGCCCTCAGGTTTTTTTGTATAACTTTACTTTGTTTATTTTCTGTTTATTTTTTTAATATGGTGCTGAGGATCAAACCTAGTGCCTCATGCATGCAAGGCCAGTGCTCTACCACTGAGCCACAACCTTTTTATCTTTTATTTTTAGACAGGTTCTCACAAAGTTGCCTAGTCTAAGCCCAGCACGGTGGCGCAGGCCTGTAATCCCAGCAGCTAGGAAGGCTGAGGCAGGAGGATCACGAGTTCAAAGTCAGCCTCAGCAGCAGCGAAGCCCTAAGTAACTCAGTGTGACCCTGTCTCTAAATAAATACAAAAAAAAAAAAAAAAGGGCTGGGGATGTGGCTCAGTGGTTGAGTGCCCCTTAGTTCATTCCTCAGTAGCCCTTCACTTCCGCCAAAAAAACAAGTTGCCCAGTCTGGCCTTGAACTTGCTATCCTCTTGCCTCAGCCTCCCAAGTCACTGGGATTACAAGCATGCACCTCCATGACCAGCAAAGCTTTCATTTAAAAAAATGAAAGTGCACATGTCCAGCACTTAGGAAATTTCTAGAAATTTTCTTGTGTATCTATCTGGATATTTTGGCAAAGAGCTCTGGAGTATTTATTGCAGCATTGTTTGCAATGGTAAAGCACTTAGTAGGGCAGCCACACAATGGAACATCGTGCAGTCGCAGGGAATGATGAACTAGATTGTGTGCTGATGTGCAAAGCTGTCAGTGCTATCTATTGTCTGGAATGATGCAGAGGCCGTTTGGCAGTGGTGTCACCTTAGGGGAGTATCGATGAAGGAAGTCTCTTTCCAGCCTGTTATTAAAATGAGCTTATATTACTTTTAGAAAAGGAAAACCAATACAGAAGTCGTCTCTAGACTCAGGTGTGGGCTGGGGGTGCACGTAGCTCCGTGGTAGAGCACTTCCTAGCATGTGCAAGGCCCTGGGTTCCAGAAGGAGGAGGTGGAGGAGGAGGAGGAAGTGGAGAGGGAGGGAGAGGAGGAGGAGAAGGAGGAAACAACTGAGATCTGGGCCCTGTGGAGGATGGCTTGTCCCTTGTCCCTACACTCTAGAGCAGCGTAAAGCCCACCATAGTGAACTTCACAAGCTGTTACTAGTCTGCAACCAGATAAAGCAGGAACTGAGGACAAGCATTTACAAACTTACAGTAAGCCACTAATAATTCCATGCCTGATAATAGTGAGAAAAAATCGAGGCTTGTCTTTTTAATTTCATTTTTCTAGTAACTCATTTGTTTTATATTTCATAAAAGTCTCAATACCTAACAGATTGGATTTTTTGTTTCCTTCTCTACGCTCTAGCAGGTGTATTTTAGTGTTTGTTTTGTGTTTTATTGTTTTTGCAAGCCCTGGGAGTTAAACCCAGGAGTACTCTACCCCGAGCTACATCCCCAACCATTTTAATTTTTGTTCAGAGACAGGGTTTCAGTAGGTTGCTGAACTGAACTTTTGATCCTCCTGCCTCAGCCTCCAAAGTTGCTGGGATTACAGGTGTGTGTCACAGTGCCTAACCGAAAAAAAAAAATTGTAAATGCATTCTTTTCTACGCTCTAGCAGGCATATTTTAGTAATGTGACACAGGAAGGCACTGGCTCTGTGGAATTAAACTAGACAGAAATATACAAATTTGCCAATTCACAATAAAAAATAAGTAAATAACAGCAGGGCATGGTGGCACACACCTGTAATCCCAGCCCCTTAGGAGGCTGAGGCAAGAGGATTACAAGTTCGAAGACAGCCTCAGCAATTTAGTGAGGCCCTAAGCAACTCAGCAAGACCCTGTCTCTAAATAAAATATGAAAAAGGGCTGGGGATGTGGCTCAGTACCCCTGGGTTCAATCCCCAGTAACAATAAATAAATAAGTAAACTGGACTGAGTCAAGTTGCAGAGATCATATTGCATATGCAATTTTAGATTGTGCTTTAT